ATATATTGGGACGGTTTAGTATAATCTTGAATGCCATTTTGAGGTTATAATAAAAACATATACAGCACACTAAGATTCTTTTGAGCACCGTAAATTGTTAATTCCGTAGAATTTACACACTGTTATAAATTGAGCATTGAATTGAAACTCATGTTTATAAACAGTTAAAATTGCTTCTGTCACTTAAAGTAGGAACAAAGGGGTTAATTTGGGAACTTTGTCAATAGGGAATGTAAGAGTATATTCATGAATATTTGTATTGGTTTGATTTTTTTTACCGTCAATCATTTTCAAGTTTTATTTATAATTATATAAATTATTTACAGTATTATTTAGATAAAATAATTCTTTAAAAATATTTTATGTAATAAATCTAATAAAATTATTTTTGTATCACTAGCTAATACTCCACCCGTCCCAAAAAGAATTGTACTCTTTACTCTTCATAAGTATGAAAAACCTTTGTTTATTTGTGAATTTCGATTGATTATTTGATAAAATAAAATATTCTTGTCACATCTTATTTTATAGAACCTTCGACGTAAAATTTAAATATGTAAGTTTTGTTTTTAATTTCTATACCATTATTTAAATAAAGTGAGTCAAAAAACTAAAATCTTGCTTTGTTATGCATAAAGTGTAAAACAATTTAGGGCGGAGGGAGTATCCATTTTATTTAATTTATGGTCAATGTTTGCCAATTTTGAGCAAAAAAATAAAAAAGGCAAATATTCAGAGACGGAGATAATATGAAGTATATTTTTTTAGGACTACAAGCTACAAGCTTAAATTTTTGATTGAATTGATACTTTGACATGGTATCGTGATACAATATCGTATCAAACTTCAAGAACAAAAAAGAAACGAGAAAAGAAAGACTATGGTTTAAGGAAATATATTACTCCGGAGTATCTTTATTGATTTAATGAATAAACAAGCACGGGATTGATGCATATACAAATTAAACTTCATGTATATTACCAAAACAAAATCATGTATATTTAAAGAATTCTAATAATAGGAGTAATAAACTAGGAATTCTAATTATAAAAGTACTTAATATCCTAAAAAAATATTACTCCCGCCGTCCTACAAAATCTTTCTGATTTTGATTTTTAAATGATTTAAATTGAGTGTATTTTGATGTTGACTTTCCAAAAATGCAATTGGATGTAATGAGTAAAAGTAGATGTGATACATAAATTAATAGTAAAAAATGTGATGTGATAGGTAAGTTAAGATTTGGTAGGGGTAAACATGACTTTTTAATAAAAATGAGAATTTTTTTTGGCGGATGAAAAAAAACAGAAAGGTTTTATAGGATGGAGCCATGGAGGGAGTACTTTATATAATAGTAGCAGTAGTAGTAGTAGTAATAATAATAATAATAATAATAATAATAATAATAATAATAATAATAATAATAATAAAGCCATAAATAATAACTACCTAATAATACTCTTGAGTGCCTAATAATAATAGTAGTAATAATAGTAATAAGAATAAAAATAAAATAGATTGTAACACCACCCACTTCAAAAATCAACTTAGCCTCAAGTTAGAGATCCACCAAAGAGCATAGAAAAGGTACAACATGCACCGTCTATTTTTCGAGGTCAAACACCTTAATCACGAAGCATATATCGAAAGAACTTGTTGGGCCTAAAACACCACCCAATTAGAAAGAAATTATGTTCTCGTGCAATATTCGAGTATAAAAATAAATCCCGATTACACATGAGAAGCGTGTTAAATTATATAACCTTTTCTTGGCCTACACTACTCACAACTTTAATCTTATGATTGTGTTGGTTTTTAGACAAGAAATTTAAAATATCTCAACTAGAGTTTTTGGAAAAAGTCTGTATCGTAAAACAGAAGTAACCATACTTTAAATTTAATTTCTGCCCTAAATAAGAGTTGGATTTTTATTAAAAAAAAAAGAGATGAACTCATCTTAGGGCTTGCTAAAATCGGTCCCGAGAGTGATTTGGAAAGAGTTAAATTGAAATTTGACATTTCGTTTTAGTTTTATCAATAAAGAATCACTTATATTCTTCATATGTAAAAACTTTATGTTACACATGATCGTCCATCATCGTCCCAAATATGTTTCTATTAACATTCGCCCAAAGACTTAATTTTGTTTACCTCCCTCCCATAAAAAAAGTTTATGGTGTTTTACATAAAATTACAAAAAAAAGTCACTATAAATTGGAGTCAAAGGGTTTTTGAATGAACCCAAGTCCCAACTGACCCATGTATGCCGTCCTTTCTTTTTTACGGAGTGCTCCGTAATTATTTATTACTCACTCGTCCCAATTTAAATTGTCTGTTTCGATTTATGATGTTTGACTAAAATTAATTTCAAATCATTTCATATAAAAAAATTATATAAAGTTAAAAATATTCTATAAAAATTACATATCCAAAAACTACATCAAAAGATTCACAAAACTAGTGGTGACATTATTATATTATTTGATCAAATGACTAACGAAAATAGAAAAAGAAAGTGAATGAAGTTTGATCTTGTGAATAGTAACATAAAATTTAATTTGAAACGAATGAAGTATGATTTTCTATATCTATTTTGACTCAATATATATCGAGTACAAAAATAATAAATTAAAACACGGAGTATATTAATTACATCATACTCCGTATATATTTGTGCAAAAAACATTTTTAATAATTTTTTTATTTAACTAATATTTGATACAAAAAAAACGAAGCAAATAATTAAAAACAAAGAAAATAAATGATTTTTTAAAAGGAATATAAAATGATTTTTAAATTTTACTTAAGTTACTGAATCCAGCTAGTCAATACACACAAACTTTTTAAAATACTTCTTTGAAAATTAGACGGGGTATAGTTTTACACTTTTACTCGAATTTGTTACTCCCTCTATTCTATAAAAGTGTTCCTATTTTGACGTTGTGTAAAAATAAGGAAGTGTTAAATTGTAGTTGACTTCCAATTTTGCCCTTGATGTGATGGGTAAAAGTAAGAAGTGATGGATTGAGTATTAGAGAAAAAAGTATGATGTGACAGGTAATGTATGAAAAAAGTAAGGGTAAAAGTGGTTTTTTAATAGAAAGTGGAAGTGTTTTGTTGGAAGTAAAAAAATGAAAGAGGAAGAGTTTTTTAGAACGGAGGGAGTAGATATAATCGGGTTTGTTCACATATAACTGAATGGGTAATGAGTCAATGTCTGGGTCAGTTAGTATAGAGTCAATTAGTGTGGTGTCGTTTAGTGTGTTTTGCATATTTAATTAACAAAAAACAGTGGTAGTTTCTAAAAGGCAGTTATGGGTAGTTTCTATTGTTAATAGGTGTGTTGGTTTGTAATAGTTGTGTTGGTTAATAAAAGTCATGTTGGTATGTTCTCTATTTATATTTAGAGAACACAAATAATCTTGTACAGTTTTACATCAATAAAATATTCTACTTTGCTTTGATTTGGTCGGTTGGTCTTGTCTAACAGAATTTACCCTGTAAATGACTTTTTCTGCACCTTTTTTTTTTAATTATTTAAACTGATTTTTACCACACATTTTTATGGACACCCCACAGAAGTCAAAGCATAAAAAAACCTTTCATGTAAAGTCAAAGTGGATAAATTGTTATGGAATTTAAGGATTATAATGATATAAATTGTGGTAGACGCATCAAAAATATTGGGGGTCAAACAAAATCATGGCGGTTCTATACTTCTATTAGAACAACTCCAAGAGGTAAATCAAAGGATATTAACAATAATTGTCAAATTTATCTTTTTTTCAAAGAAGTCTATCCTCCAATTGTTGAGTCAAATTATATATTTTTCTATTATCTATGTTTCTTAATCATATCATTTTATAAAATAACATTTTCAAATTATATCTTGATCCATGTAACTTTTTATATACTCCGTACTTTTAAAATTTAACCCTATACTAGATCAATTGTATTCATAGAGTGCACGCTAACAATTCTTAGTATGTGACTTCAAAAATATTAGTACGCCTTATTGCGCGCCGCTCGCACACTTAGTTTGTCAATTCGCGAATAATGCGCGAATTGTGTGTTTTGGTACAAATTAAAACAAATTGGATGCTCTACTACAAAAATTAATTACCAATGTTTCAATATTGGGCATGGGCTATGCTTTATCAATCATGTCCAAGAAAGCCCAATGTTTGAAACAATGGATTAAAATTATTAAATTATAAGCCAAATATGTGTACCCCGAAAATCCAAAATAATAATAAAAAGTATATACAATACTCCTTTCGTCTAATAATAATGTTAGTCATTCACTACTAACTGAGTAAAATTTTATTCATTTTTTGACGTATTTTCGATGCCCATTTAATAAAATAATATAGTCATGTCACTTCTAGTTTTGTAGATTTTTCATGTCGTTTTTAGATATGTAATTTTTTTAAATTCTATACAATTTTTTATATAAAGTGATTTAAAAATAATTTCAATCGAGAATCGTAATGCGCAACGAGAACATTATTATTGGATCGAGGAAGTATGTAACACCAACAATACTAATTAATTTGTGTATGATAAAGACAATTTGTTTTGGAAAGTAAAAAGTTGTAACTTGTAATGATATAAACATGAAGATTTTATATGCACCACATGATTTTAAATTATTTGTTAAAAATCCTAATTGAATATCTATCTCTCTCTACCTATGTTCAATGAAGAAATCATTTTCCAAATATTTTTACATTTCAAAATTAATATAATTAATCCAATAATTTAAATATTTGCACGTCGTCATGGCTTGGAAATCTGGTGAAAGTTCTAATTATGATATTATTTTGTTTTATTTGACGAAAAAGCAAAATTTTAAAGCTAGAGATATCAACATGCGTAATTTTTGTCCGGATTTTCAAAAAAAGATCAAATTAGGATTTCCAGGCGGGGAAGTAACGGTATTAATTTTGAGGAGGAAACATATTAATTTTGAAATCCCCAAATATTTAATTAAAATAAAATAATTATGAGAGTATTGATTAGAGTTTTTAGTGATCTTCCATAATAATTAATTGGAAAGTTTGAAAATCAGAAGGAAAAGACAGCAAGAACTGAAGATCTATGAATGCCCCCCAGCTTTCAAGGTTTGATATTTCTTGCTTTGGATGCAAGAAAAGACAGAAGTTTTCTGCTTCTTTGGTTTGGTTCCAAATATGAATTCCCTCAAAGGTATTCCATTTCTGTCCTTTGATTTTGAGCTCTTTTTTTCAACACTTTCAGGCCAATTCATCTTCTTTCCCTCTGAAAATCCCTGAAAAAGATTCAATTTTTGCTGCAGATAAAGAATCTCTTCATCCTTTCTTGCAATGGCATTTTTCAAATCTTTCATCTCCACTGCGATTTCAGACTGCACATCCCCATCGTCCAATTTCTTCTTCAGATCTTTGTAGCTTTTGAGGAGTGCTATGTATTCTTTCAGCAAGACTTGTTCTTTGTCCTCCATTCCATCCAATAGCATCCTCTGCCAGTTAAATTTCTCATCTTTTTCCCAGCTTGAATCTAGGGTTTCTTGGGTTGAATCTTCAAATTCCTTTGTATCTGCAAATGTGACACGTTTCACTGTCTGGGTATCTTTTCTCAGTTTCTCAGACAAAAGATCATAGCAAGAAAGGGCTTCTGTTAGTTGAGATTGAATGTTTGTGCTTTGTTTCTCAACATCTCTGTGTAGGTTTTGAAGCTTCTGCAGCTGCTCTTCCAGTTCTTCCACTCTGATGCTCAGATTTTGTTTATCCAAGGTTAGATTCGCTTTTTCGCCTTCCAAGATTCTTATTTTTTCATGAAGATCATTAGACTCAGTTCTCAATCTGTCAATTATCTCAGCCTGGGAAGTCATTGTGATCTCCAAGTTCAGCACTTTGTTCACAAGCTCATCAATCTTCATTGTCAGTTGATTAACTGTTGCAGATTCCTCTTCCTTTAAGTTTCCTCCATCTTCAGATTTCACAATTTGATCATTACTCTGAACAACAGACTCACCAGATTTCAGAGATTTCAGCTTCTTCTCTGCATCTTCAATCTTTTGGGATTCTTCTTTAAAATCTCTCACACATTTCTCTTGTTTCTCCTGCAACTGACCCAAACTCTCTTTGACTGATCTTAAAGAGGTTTCTGGTTTTTCGACATCCGTTGCCGAGCCAAATTCAGCTTGCAGACTGCAAAGTCTCTCCTGCATTTCCACGACTTGTTTCTCAATCTCCTGAAATCTTGAAAGCCCGCTTTCGTATGAACTCCTCACGATCTCTTTCACGGTTTGGAGCGAGCCTATTTCATTCTGGAGCTTCTCAATCTCCTCGAGAGCTTCTGTTTTAGATAGACTCTTGTTCAAGGATGCCTTCTTTGCTGCCTTTGGGTACTTTGGGCTGCCAGGTTCTTGGAAATTCTTGGGATCCATTTGAAACCCTGAGAGTACTATGGAAAGATAAAATTTTGATAAAAGTATTCAATTTTCTTTAAAATATCGAATTTGCTTTCTGACATTGGGCTCCAATGTCATATTATGACACTAAGCCATTTGAGGCACTGGTCTGTGTCTTTTAACACTCGACTCCCGTGTCATATTATGACACTGGCCCTAGGAATCATGGAGATTTTTCAAAATGCAAACATACCCTTTGGGATTCTAGAAGAATCATGGAGATTCTTTGAGAGCTTAGGTGAACCAAAGTCGTCTTCGTCTTCGTCCATTGCCAGCTGGATTTGTTCGGGGAAGACAATGGCGATGGTGTGGTTGGCAGTGTGCAAATCTTTGGACAGCTTATCGTACCTTTCGGCTAAAGCACGAAAGGCGCGATAAGCTTCTTCCACAGAGCTTATAAGCTCCGGTCTTCTTTTGTAATACATTTCCGCTCTTTTGGCAAAAGAGTCTCCTTCTTGTTCTATCAGCTTCAACATGTATTGCACCTTATCCTCCATATCTGCATTTCTCACCACATTTTGTTATGCATAAACACACTCACTACGGACGATGTGTGTACAATAATATGTGCAAGCATCTTTCGATGCCAAACGTGTGTCATATTATGACACCGGCTATTTAAGGGTCACACACCACATTGTGCTCCGTTGGAGTCCGGAGAGTGTCCCACCCCCTGAGTTATGGGGTAAGGCCTATCTCGAGACCTAGCATAACATCGTGGGACCAAGATTCGTAATATAACATCTATAACTAATGCAAAAGGTTGTGGCCTATCAAATAAAATATACCATGAAGGCTATGGTCAAGCCATTTTGATTGCTTTGTCCTAATATGGCTTGCATACCACCATGAATAGGCATTGTTTGCACCTTTTTCCACCATCATTCCAAACTTTGTTTTTTCTCTCTTCTCCTTTGTCTATTTCTTCTTAATCTTCTTCTTGAAACAAGAAATGATAGATGGAAACTCTTTCTCCTTCCTCAAACAAACATCATATCATCATAGGAAAAGAGAAAGAGTTTTAGAAAACCTGACAAAAAAGACCTCCTAGGAAGATTTTTCCCTCAAATGGAAATGAAATGAATGACTCAAAGGTGGTATCATTGTAAGGGGTGTGGGTAGATCCCCAAGGCAAAGATTGACTCCCTTTACCATTCCATTTGCCTATTTATGATTTTGTGGTTGGGAGTCATTTTCGGTCCTAAGCATTTGTGTTACCCTACAAAGATGGAATAATGATTATAAGTGTGCTAAATATTTGGGAATGAAAAACAATACTAAGAATGTGATTCTTCCTTTATTATATGAAATTTACCACAAACTTCTCTCCTTCCCCATTTTCGGTCCTAAGCATTTGTGTTACCCTACATGATATTATTAAAATATTATACACAAATGCACCCACACACATACGATGGAGTACAAAGTAATGTACTTAAAAATTTGAAATATACAAAGTATTTGAATAGTTACATTTTTGTTAAATGTTAATTTCATTTGATTCAACTACATTAATGTTTTTTTTTAAAATGCTATTTACTCCGTAAGAATAATATACGGAGTAAGTTAAAGAATTTCAAAATTGATCTTAGTTCATCATTTAAATTACGATTAATACCAATTGAATATTCATTTAAAACACAAATATTTACAAAAATTAAATACATGGTACAAAAAAGAAAATTGTCTCTAGATAAGTGTAAAATGTTATCAAAACAGTAATATAGTAATGCCGTTATTTTTATCCTCTTAATATGAGTTTGGTAGTCTAATGATAATATATAACAATGTGAATGATGACAATATTCTAACAAGGTGTGGTAGTGGACCGTCGGTCAAAGGTGGTCAACACCAACATTTCGCATTTTTGGTGATTATAGAATTTCGGTGGCAATAAGGCATGAGAATTGGTAGTACCGAATATGATAATAGCTACATGAACTCATCATGTTTAAATGGCAAAAGGAGAATATTTACATTATCTTGTGTTCATGTTTAAGGAGTTCTCAACTTTGGCTAGTTGTTTTCAAATTCTTGACTTTTGTTATCAAATATTGCCTATTAGAGCAACCCCAACCCATCATATAAGTATTAGTAAAGTCCAAAATATAAAAAATTACTTTTACAGTTCACTTTTCGGGCCTCCAACCGATAAGGTTAAAAATACACCATAATGCATTTTTAGTTTGACATCAGTCATATATACAAGATCTATTGTAGATAGTGGAAGCCTTCAAATTTATTTATGATGATTCTCTTCTCTTTTTGTGCTATTCTCCATTCCTTCTTCGTGATCTCCTTCTCGCTCCTCTTTCATCACCAGGTGTGTGTTATTGCATCTTTTTCCTTGATTTTTTTGTATGAACAATCTACGGACTGAGCAAAATTTTCGACATGTACCAATTTTCAAATTTATTTACCGCTTTTATGCATTTTCCAATAATTTTTTGCTCGATACTGTATGAGTCAATTGAGAAATTTTTGGCTATATAATGATTATCAAGTGTTTCCCCTGAAAAAATAAATTAAAGAAAAAATGATTTTTATGTTGAAAATTTTCTTGAATTTATTCAAAATTTTTATTCTGCAATAAAAATAAAGCACATTTTCTTCAAGTGTATCGACTGCCCATGTTTTTATTGCAAAGCAATTTTAAATTTGTATTTAATTTTAAAGGGTAGAAAGTATTGGACAGAATTTTATTACAAAGTGATTTTTAATTTGTCATATATTTTAATTTTAATAATAAAAAACATAAATGGATTTTTTCGCAAATAAGTTGAAGAACTTAAAGAAAGTTGAGAGAATCAAACAATTGAGTCTATTGATCAAATGACGAGACAATTACATCTTGTTAATGAAAAGATAAATATTAGTATTAAAATATATTGATATTTTATCAAATGTAGTTGCATAACTTTGATTGCAAAAAAAGAATATTAATGAGAGAAATTGAAGATAGTTTGAAAATTGGAGTTATCTAGTAGAGTAGTTCTTACCACAAAATTAAAGATGTCTAAAAGCAATTATTTATTAGAGTAGCGATAAAAAGAAAGTGAGAGTTCCTATGACATTGGAATCTTAGGGCTGCTACGGTGCTCCGTTCGTAAAATTGACTGGTTTTATCGTCCTTACCTCCCGATCCGAACACACTTCCACCCCTTCAATTGCACCCTCAAATTTATTCGGGAGTGCAATTGAAAGGATATGAGAGTGTGTTCGGGTCGGGATTAGAAGAGTTATGAATCGTCAATTTTTCAAACAGAGCACTTAATATCACTGGAAGGGTTTTCGATGTAAAAAAGGACGAGCTAAAATGGATATTACCTTTTACGAGGTAATTTTTTAGACTCCCCATTGGAGTTGTTAAGAAGTTTGAACCTGAGAGTTTTTACTAGAAAATTAGAGGTACCTTGAAATATATTTAGGGGATTGTTTGGAAAAATATTTAAATATTAGCGTTAGTGTTTTAAAAAAACTATCAACGAACAATATCTTTAAAATAATCTGCACCGTTGAATTTTTATCCCAAATGCTAACGCGGCTATTTTCAAACATGCCTATAAACTACTGCCTTTGTTCAATTTTAAATTGTCTATTTTCCTTTTTTCTCCGTCCCAAAATAAGTTGTCTGTTTCTTGTTATCGTAAATTTTTAAGAGTAAAATACCTAAATTATCCTTAAAAAAAGTTACTCTTCTCCACTTTATCTTCTCATTCATCATCACCAGTTCTCTTAAAAAGTAATGACAATTTCAAAAAGTTAACTCTATTCTTTTTCATCCTTAGATATGTCTCAAAGTCAAAATGAATAATTTAAAATAGGACGGAGTGGATATAAAATAACATGGGATGTGGGAGTTACTAAGGAGTAATTTTCTGTTGGTCTTAGGCTTGACTGACTCACCTCTGGGTTTCTTCTTCTTTCTCTACAAACATGGGGAGCAGAAATCGAGCTCAGCACTACATCACCGCCGCAGAGTCCGCCCTCGCCGCCCAGAACTTCGAGGAGTGCTGTAAGCAAGCCGCTCTCGCCCAGGAATCCGACCCGACCAACCAGGCTCCTGCCCAGCTCATCGCCATTGCCGACGTCATGTCCGCCTTCTCCTCCACCATCAGCAGCGCGGCCGACGGATCGGGTAAGAAATCCGACTACTACTTCGTCCTCGGCGTCCCTCGTTTCACGGAAGATCTCGACGCAATCCAGTCCAGCTTCGATCGGCTCTCCGCCCTCTTGAACCCTAACACCAACCCCTTCCACCTCTGCCACCAGGCGCTCGCGCTCGTCAGGAAGGCTTGGAAGACTCTTTCGAACCCTAACCAGAAATCGAAATTCGACGAAGAGCTGAGGACGAAGCTGAAATCCCTGGACGGATCGGAAAACCAGACCTTCTGGACCGCATGTACTCACTGTTATTGCCTGTACGAGTATCCGGCTGAGTACGAAAACTGTTGCTTGAGGTGTCAGAATCTCAGCTGCCAATGTGTCTTTACTGCGGCCGTGTGCCCTCCCCCGCCCCCGGAAGTGATTGAGAAGGGCAGCTATGATTGCCTGGATGGCATGTCCGTGGTAAAGACGAAGCACAAAATGGCAGCGAATTGCTCTAAGAAGTTGATGGGGAAAGGGACGAGGGTCGTTCAGGCCAATGGCTCTGCTCCATTGTAGGGGCTAACGGATGATCAATGTCATGGCGGAGACAATTCGGATGATTGGGTATGGGAAACTCTCTTCCTCGCGTTATTGTGTTTCTAGGTTACTTCGTGTAGTTTTTGTGTTGGTTAGAATGCTAAATCTGCAGGGCGAGGCATTGCCATGTGAAAGTTAACAGGCATGTAGCTTCTTACCCTCAAATGCATTTAGGACAGAATATCACAGGCATGTTCTTCAAAACTTTCTTTGTGTATGTTTTTTTCTTCTTCTCGATATTGAATATGCTCTGATCTTCACCTTTTCGATATCTTCAATGGTAAAACGCATAAAGCTAAACAATGTCTTAGGAAGTGTTTGGTAACCATAGTTTTCATATTCTTGAACAAAATAAGTAGTTTTTTTCTCTCAATTTTTACTTATTTGACTGAAATGGATGTTATTGAATTCTTTTCCAATAAAATTCACCATTCAGGCATGCCAAACCAAGCATATTCCCAGCCAAAAGTACGGTTTGGGGCTAGATGCATGCGATTCTTATTTCCACCCCAAGAAGGAGGGGATCTGTTTTTGACATGAACCCAACAATTAGTAATATCTAGCGTGAGGACTGTTGAGAATAACTAACACTTGGACACAACCGCTGCAACGACCTAACGATCCTAATTTGAGACCTTGTCATAAAACACTCCTTTGGGTTCCATCCATTTTAATCAACATACCTTTATATGATGTTTGACAGCATCTTGATCAGCTCATCCATTTGGATGATTGAGCCCAAATACTCGAACCTGTCTCCTTGCGGTATCCTTTGATCCCCTATGCTAACTTCATTCCTCTCCTCATTTTGCTTCCAACTAAAGTTGAACCTTATGCGTTTGCGCAAAAGCCACAAATCAAATGTTTCTAATGACATTCTCCATCGTTCAAACTTTGTGTTCTCCCCTTCCCTTGTCTCAATTGCCAGAGCAATGTTGTCCGAAAAAGAAAACATCACCGGGATGCTCTCTTGGATCCCCTAGAAATGTCATCCAAGATCACAAAAAGATGAATGAGCTCAACGCAGATACTAGGAGTAATCTGACTTCTGCTGGAAAAAATTAAGTCTTGACTCGCACTGACATATATTGTACCCTCACACACGACAATGACACCCCTTTAACCTCTATGGTCTTCTAAATTACTTCTTGTGGAACACCGTCATGGGCTTCTTCAAATCTATAAATATCATGTGTATGTCTTTCTTAAGCGATCTTCCCATTCCCATGGGGCGTCTTAGAAGCATTGTTATCATGCTGAGGAGGGACAGAATCTGGAAATATCTTTGCTAGCGTAAAATTTTTGAACGACGGCACAGAAGTCAGATCCGAATACCCTGTGGCCTATTGCCGCTGGACCTGTTTCACAAGCTTTGGTCTTCTACGACTTTCTCAGTTTTGACTTTCTGTCTTTTTTCTTTTTCTTTTAGAGTAAATTCTATAAATGGTCCCTAATTACAATTGGTTTTCAATATTTAGTCCCCAATTCTAAGGTATTACATAAAGGGTCCTCAATTTTTGAAAATTATTCCATATTTGGTCCTTCAGGGATTGTATGTGCAAAAAATTTTTGTCATATTTGACCTAAAGGACTATTTATAGAATAGTTTTCAAAACTCGAGGACCATTAATGGAATTTACTTTCTTTTTATGAAGGGGGAGGGAAGGCAAGGGACTAGGGTTCGTGCATTTGTTTTCCATTGCAGGTTAACTTCTTTTGATTTGTATATGTTTTTTACTCTGTTTTTTTTTTCAAAAATAAAATTAACACTCCCTCCATCTCACTAAAGTTTTCCTGCTCTCTTTTACCCTCACAAAATAATTTTCTCACTTTATCTTTTTTTTTGGGAAAAAATATGTGGTCCATAATACTTCTCTCTTATAAATAAATTATTTCCTTTGTTTTCATGTGTATTACTCCCTCCGTCCTATAATGTTCTTCCCGGTTCATTTTACGAGGTTTGACCGACTTTATTTTCAATTCAATTTATTTGATTGTAGGTATAAAATTAAAAAATAAAATTTATATATTTAAAAACTACATCAAATGTTCTACAAAACAAGTGGTGACAAGACTATATTATTTTATCAAATACCTAATGAAAATAGGTAAAGAAAGTGATTAAAGTTTGACCGGGTAGGAAGAACATTTTAGGACGAAGGGAGTACATTATTTCTGCCACTAAATTTTGTTTTAAGCCCATATAATGTTGGATCCCAATATAGATACTTCAAAGTCAAATTATAGATTTAACCTTTTGCGTTTGTTCTTGCAATTTTTGTTGCCTTCGGAAGATGTTGGATATGATTAGCAATATACTTATAAATTTGAAGAATGTATTCCGCAATAATTACACATGTTGACCTATGACTAGTTATCTACTTGTCAGTTCACAAACGACTCGAATCGATTTGTCGACGCTACACCCATGCTTAGATGGTGGATTTGTCTCATTTGTCGGCCATCATGCTTGCAAAACCAAAACACCACCACTTATACCCATTCGCCGTTTTCCTAAGCACATTCACCAGCTTAAAAAACTTACCACTCAATGTTGCCACATTCAAGCTACCTAAACACAACATAAGACCTACTGCTTTCCTATTCACCTTCCTCTCATGCAGCGCCACGCGAGGCACGCCCCACCGAGCCCACAACAGACACATGATGCTGTCGATCTGGGCTGTTTGGGATCTGTGCTGCAGCAGTGAAGCATCAGTTTCTGGTTTGCAAAGCCATTGACAGGAATTGATATCAATGCCATAACTTTCGACTTTATTTTCAAGAATTTGTTTGTAGAAAAAGTTTAACAATTCAGTCATTTTAGTCAAACACCCATCACCAAGTAAACCCTTAACACCCTGTTGGAAGAAATGATTCCCACAGTTTTATCCCTAAGCTGCCCCCTTCATATAGTGGAGTGCTACTTGCCACTCTACTGAACACAAAATATGTTCATATGGTTTGACAATTAACATGCATATATCCCTTAAGTAGTTGATTCCTAGTTTTTCAAGCTTTCTAGCTAACAACTTTCCCTACAAGACTATTAGGCCATCCACAATAGTAGCTCTCTTAGAGCTCTGTTCATCATTTCTTTTTCTTTTTTGCCACATCATCAAACAAACTCTTTTACATCACATACTCCATAGAGTTCCCCCCATAACTCTTTTGCATGGGTTCCACTTAGGGGAGGAAGAAAAAAAGAAGAAGAAAGACATAACAAATAGACTAGGAGAGCGGGGTGGGCTTGTGTATGTGTCCTTTGGACAAATATTTTGATTCATGTTAAACTAAAATTCATACTTGTTTGGATGCTTTTGTCGGAGGGAACAATAGCATATAACTCAATTGAAATCAAAATTAGCCTTTTTATAAATGAGACTTTTCTTGGGGATAAAAAAACTCCATATGTTGTAACTTTTTCTTCTCACTTTGACTTGACACATTTACTAAGAAACTGAACTTGTGTGGGTGTAGTTTATTTATAAATGAAAGAAACAATATCAACCTCACAAATGTTTCTTCAAAAGGAAACAAACAAATTTTTTAGGACATGCCAAAAAGAAAACAAGAAAATTTTAGGATGCATAGAGTAGTGAGTTTGTAAAGACTTTTCTTCAGATTTTGAGTATTTTTTTATCAGGTAGCAGAGAATATGTGTTCCTTGCCCTTATTAATTATGGACTGTTGTACTTGTGTCTCATCTTTTGGGGCTTCAAAGAGTGTTGCCTTGGCATCATGATTACATGAGGAATATAACTTATTTATTGATTCAACTTTGTTGGGGCATATTTATTGCCACTCAAATATGACAAAATAGGAAACCCATGCTCCTGTACTTGTAATATCTTCCCTTTTCATAAAGTTCTCATATTTGATTGCAAATGGATAGTTAGCTTAGTGTGTGTTAAAATTGAGACCTGGAACTCGGGTTTGATTGAAGGCGGGGAGCTGGTGTTTCTATGACCAATTGTCCATATTCCCTTCGATTCCTAACTAGAAGTTTTGAATGAGATGAAGAGAATGCAATTAATGGAAGCGTAAGCCTTTAGTTTAGTTTGAAGATTTTGGGAAGGAGAAGACAATGATGGAATTTGCTTTGTTTGGTTGGGTAAGCAAAGGGTAACCAAGCAACTGTTTGCACTCCATCCAAATAGGCAGTAGGTTTTTTATAGCCGTTGGAATAGCCAATGAGGTCAACAAAATTTGGAGGGTGCGATTGAAGGGGGTGGAGGGGTGAGTTCGGGTCAGACCGGGATGGGTGGGTTTACCGGAGGGGTAGGAACTGTCAATTTTTTGAACGGAGCACCATAGGTCCCTCGGGTCTTCTCATGACAGTGGTCCCATTGTCAGGGAACCAAGCGGTAACCACTAACTATAGCATTACTTGGAAGCAGCTTTTCTACTTTTTAGTAGGGGTAATGTCTAAATATACACTCTCCCCATACTTTCCTTTTTTGTGGGATTTCACTAGGCCAATTGTTGTTGTTAACTATAACATTAGCAAAGTTGTGGATTTTGATCTCATCTATTTAAGAAGTACACAACATGGATCTTTTGTTCAATTGGATCTTGTCTCTTCTTTGTTGGTCCACTTTGACCTTGTTGGAGTTTTGGGTCCTCTCAGAAACTCTCTCTCCTTTAGAGTGGAGTCAAGGTCTACGTAACACATACTCTCCTCAGACCTTACCTTAACTTTTTGTGAGATTTTATTGGGTTTGTTGGTTGTTTTGGGGAAGATTAACCGCTTTCATCCGGTGTTATTTACGTCTTTCATTTCAAGAAGTTACCGAGCTTATTCCAAGTTCTCTTTGGAGTATTTTGTTAATTAGATTGAATTGATACCTCATTTGAAGCTTAAAGCAAGCTCTGAACTTCCAAATAAATTATATTCCCTCCGTTCCAAAAAGATCTACCCGTTTCATTTTTAGCGCATACCTTAAAATACTTCTACCCACATCTAAAATGCCTAAAATTTATCACATTTACCCTTTATTGTGGGTAGAAGTTGTTTTTAAAGTTTTTTTGGCATTTGAGACGAGATAAAAGTGATTTATTGGGTGCACACAAAAAAAATGAAACGGGTACATCTTTTTGTAAGTACTAAATATACACTTTTAAAAAATGGTGTTTGTTAAAAATTCAGTGTAAATAAAATTCCAGAGTAAATAGGTTTGGTGAACCAAAAGAAAACATTTTTCTTTTCACAACTTTGGCTGCATCAGTTGATGGGATATGCTGTTCTCTTTGTCAGTTGTCATAATCATATTTCTTTATGGTCTGTTTTGTTTTGTTTATACTAAAAAAAACACATATTCTTGCAGTACTTCTTGGTCGAGTGTTGCCTAGTGTGTAATTTTTATTTATTATTTATTATTATTATTATTTTAATACTATATACAAAAAAATTCAATTTAAGGGTAGTTATTTCTTCACACAAGTGAGATCATATATCCCTCTTCCAATGCAACTTTATTTAACACCGAAAAACAAAAGAGGCAAAAAAAAATTGGCAGCAAACACTTGACTTGCAGATGTTGGATAAAGCACCAATACTATGTTCCTTCCCAGGAATGGCAACCAAATTAAACCACATAGCTGTCCACATTATTATGGCTTTTTGACCCCTTATAAGATGGAATTGTAAAAGAATGAAATTATTATTATTATTATGATTATATTATTAGCATAATTATTGGCTTCACCTATTTGCTTTTGACCACACACACTGACACACACATACAAAAACTAAATCCATGTTTTTTTTCCCAACAATTTATTGTTAAACATGCAATGTGGGTATTTAGACAGGTTTTTTCTTCTTTTTTTTACTAAAAAGAATAGCTATGGATATATTTTGGTTTTTTAATTTTATCTTTTATAATAAGTCCAAGAAGGGTTTTTGGGACCCTGAAATTAAAGGATTTTTCCTTGTGGAAAATGATTGCCCTTTTTGAATCTTTTTTCCAACTGCCAAAGTTTTAAAAAAACAGCCTTTCATAAATATTCCATTTCCATTGTGTACTTAGAGCATTCATCCAAACTAACAATAATTGGAGAAACAATACACATTCCCTTTACATATACTCCTAGGATTCTTTTTACACCCTAATTTTGACTGTGATCTTGTTAGAATATAAAATTTATTTTTGGCTTATACTTTTGTTTGAATTGGTTTCTTGATAGGGTATGGGATCTTTGTTGATAAGTCACGAGTTCAAGCACCACCATCACCTAATTTTTTAAAAAGTTATTGTTCGCGTGCAAGGTTTGAAACATAAAAAATATTGCATTCTCACCTACACATGAGAATTGTTAGAATACAAAATTTGTTTGAGCCTACAACCACAAACCCGAGCTTTTTCTAAAATGTGATAATTGAAGTGAGGTTAGAGACTTAAACTTAAAGTTTGAAGTATAAATTGTTATTGTTACCATCACAACTTGTTAAAACACACGTTTCACTCGTCAATTAAATTAAAGAATAATGTAGATATAATTTATGTCTATATTCATTCGTTTTTTATTTAATACTCCGAGTAATAAAAATGACGATTAGTAAAAAAACAATGTATCAAAACAGAGAAGGGAAAGATCATATGATAGTAGGATTAGCAATGAGGAACTGAGGCCTTAGGTGTAAACACATGAGATCTAGTTATCCATTATTAGCTTTGATGTTTAGCAATGACGAAAGGAGGTCCGAGCGAGGTGCAAACACCCAAGGTAGGGATACCGGTGACCCCCGACCCGTTACTTTTGTTTAATAAATAAAAACATTGATGAGGTTATGAAGAGGCTAGGTATGGAGACTCGGAATAGAGACTCGAAATCCCTCGACCTAGTAGCTTTATTGGACATCGAAATGTAGCAGGGAAGAGAGACCGATCATAGAACTAACGCCTAGGACCACGTACTTCACATAAAATTGAAGAACAGAAAGTAAAAGATACGAGATCTGCGTTGTCAAAGTCTTCATGTTCCATGTTCCAAGCTTACACTAGCGGAGGCTTCAGAGACACCGAAGAAAGAGAATGGCAAATTGAAGAACTGTGATGGGAGATAGATAGTGACGGAATATTGTTTCTGAGTCACTGCTTCATATTAACTAAAAAACTAGAGAGCTTGTGATGAAATAATAATCCTCTAGACCCAAGGAGATTGGACCTGATCTAAGAATGAAGCAATCCCATAAAAGAAGCACATTAGTAAACCTTAACACTAGGGTTTCTTGTTCATCAATAAAAGGGGATTTAAATACTATTCGTCTCTCTACATAGAAAACTACTTCTTCTGTCCCGTAAAAGTTTTCCGGTTTTGACTTTTGAATGATTTAATTACGTAAGAGAGGTGTATTTTGGTGTTTGACCTTCCACAAATGCCCTTAGGTTTTTTTAAAAGTGATGTTTACATCAATGAATGGTTAAGAATAATGATAACGAGCAATTACAAAACAAAAGTAAAGTGAGATGTGACAGATGTGATGTGAGAAGGTATAGTAGGGTTAAAGATGGGTACTAATTAGTCCAATTTTGAGAAGTTGAAATGTTTAATGAGACAGATAAAATAAATGAGAAAATTAAAATATTTTTTGAGAGAAAGAGACTCTTACTATCTCTCTTTGTGCTAATCGATTCGTCTTCGCTTACATAAAGTTTCAAACTTCATCAATATAATTACCATCGAACTACTCCGCGTATAAATTAAAATATATACCTCTCTTGGCATGATCGATACTGCTAAAAGAGATTCGTAATTTTTATCGATTTTGTTTCCCCGTAAACGTCAATGTGTTCATACTATATATTACATTTATTATCCAGGATTATTAAAAGTTATTAAAATCAATCAGCTGGGGAGAATGATGTTTACCCATAAAATAATGAATTAAACCACTTTGCCTTCGTGGGTAATCCCTGTGTTTTTCACAGACGAATCATGTTTGATATACTGGTAAAAGTCATATTTAATTATTACCCAAACAGGTTTTGTCTTTAAATTTGATCCCTTTTGGTGCACCTAAAACTTAGAAGCATATATGATGAATAAAATTTTATTTTCACAAACACATTCATATAAGTACTGTTTACATTTTTAATTTATTTAGAAATTACTGTTGATATTAGTATATGTATGTGAGAAAAGAACAATCATCACATTTTCACATTTGCTAAAGTGGATTTAATTTCAATTAAAAAGGTGCTTTCTTATTAATTACTACCTCTGGCTTTGAATGAGAACATTTTTTTTCTCGTGCATTTCCAAATCATTCTTTGACCGGGAAGTTCCCCCTAATCATTCTTTAGTACGACCACTTCATCGTAATTCTTTGAAAAGGTTATCTAGCGAATATGTTTAATTTTAATATTTAAAATTAATCTGCAATCTTAATAAATAAATCAAACATTTGACGTTCCATTTTTTCCGGTGTATTCAAAATGCTATTTCCAAACATTAGATTGAAATACTAATGTTTTCAAGGTTATATCTCGATTGATAAAAAATAAATTTACGTTTCAAAAACTTAGATTCAAATATAAAACTTATACCAAAATAAGACTTTTTAGGTTTTTATCCTCTACATATATAGGAGCATTGACACTATGTGATTGCTTGTAAAATGTCACAATTTGACATTGTGTGTTGCTATTTCCATTCAGAGTAGTTGTTTTGGTGTTATACATTGAAATTATTTGGTATTACAAGTTCTATGATATAAAAATTTTAGAGATTCTATTTTAATACTCCCTATATTAAACATGTTTTGTTCTAATTCTAGTCAGGTATATTTTTCTTTACACCTTATATTCGTTTGACTTTTCTTTACACCTTATTCGTTTGAAAATTGATTGAATTTAAGATGAGATAGTGATCATTGGACTGGACCATAAGACTTTTAACTTTTAAGTTGAAGAACATGCATTAAAAGATTGATCCGATCAAATCGACTATTCAATCCAACACAAGATCTGGTATATCTATTATTTTTTCTCTTCAACTTCCGATGTGAGATGCAAGTACTTTTTAACAAAAATGGTTCGGTTAGAAGTCAAATAAACAAAAAAACATCACATTACGCAAAACGAAGTGAAATAAAACAAGAGTCTCTTAAAGATTAGTATAGAAATAAAAATTTAAACTTACATATTTTAAAAACATCAAAAGTTCTACAAAATAAAAATGCCCAAAAATATTATATTTTATCAAATATTTAAGGCGGAGGAATATTGTTTTTGCAAAAAAAATGTTCCAAAAGAGTCCAAATGACATTCAAAACATATTTATAATACGGTGTAGAGTTTGTATTTGTATCCCCACAAAGCAACACAATAATTTTCATGAAGAAAGAATCTAAACTAAAGAGAATAAATTTTTAGACATCCCGCAGCTTTTTTGTTACACACTTCTTTAGCTTCTTCTTCTTCTACTACTACTACTATAAAAAGAAGCTAGGTTTATTCCCAAATTGCCCCTCTCTCTCTCTCTCTAACCACCATATATATCCTACTAAAAAAAGAGATTATTTTATATTATTTTAATTATTATTGGATTTTTTTTCTAGGAAAAAGACCAAACCCAAACTCCAACAATATCTTCATCGTACGTAAGACAAATCTCTGCCGGTTCTTCTCGGAAACAGTCGGAATATAATCTCTTCTTTTTCCCTGTAGATTCTTCAGGTTTCTGAAATTCTATCATATTCTTATTCTTGTTTAGTGATTATTATTTACACATGTAACAGAAAGATGTTCCTGTTTCATTTTTTGCACATCTTATAAAATACTTCTACCCACGTCCAAAATGCCTAAAATTTACTATATTTCTCATTTATTAAGGGTACAAGTTGTTTTGAATTTTTTTTGGCATTTGAAGCGGGATAGAAGTGTTTTATGAGATGCACAAAAAATGAAACAGAAACATCTTTTAGGGACGGAAAGAGTACATATATATACTGTACTGTTTCTGTCCAGAAATTTTCTTGTGATTTTTGTTTTAACTTATGTAATGATTTTCTAGGTTGTTTTTTTTTTGAGATATTAAGGTTTAGGATGCAAAGATTTCAAAGCTTTTATGAAGTTGGGAACTGCTCGGGTTCGTACAACTTTGTTCAAGGAAAAATGTGGTTGAATAATAATAATGGTGGCGGCCGCGGCCGCCGCATGGATGGGGGAGATGAAAATGATGAGAGTGCATGCGCGGTGGGCCCGGCAACTGCGGCGGCGGAGGCGAAGGCGAACAAGAGCCACAGCGAGGCGGAGAGGCGGCGGAGGAAGCGAATCAACGGCCACCTCGCCACCCTCCGTACCCTCCTCCCCACCACTATCAAAGTAAGATGATAATCACATCCCATCTGAATATTTTACTCTTTCCCTCCCCCAAATTTTGTCCACTTTTAGTTTAGGATTGGCTGGATTGTGTTTTAATTTTTGAAATTTATTTAAATATTAGTGTGAAGTTTATCAAATGTTGTAGGAAGTACAAAATAAGAACCGACAAAAATATGGTTTTGAAAAATTCATGTAAATATTTTAAACATTTCGAGTTTTCACTTTCTTTCTAAAAAAATGTTTCGAGTTTCCATAATACTTTAATTTAACTAATCACATCAAAGATATTTAAAAGAAATTTAACACACAAATATTTTTTTTTTAATCTATTAAAAGGTAAAAGGAGAACTAATTTTTATTTTTACTGAATGTTTTGAGTGATTTGAATGTGTTTGATTACGTTCTCTTTAAATGATTTTATAATAGTTGAGACTTATCTCTTAGCTTTCATTCTTCCGATATTTTTGAATTTTTTTTAGTCTCTACTAATCCCTTCTAATTTTTTCGAACTTCTCTCATTATTTTAATTTTTCTTAATTTTCTAACTTCGAATTACTTTTGATTCCTTCTAGCATCTCCTAATTCTTTTAAATTTTTTCCAAACTATTTCTAATAGTGACATAAAAATTACTCCGTTTTTACTAGAAACTTTATGAAACATCTATCCTACAAATTATATTCTACCTTCGTAAGGGAAAAATTAAAAAATAATATGAAAATTGCACATTTTAAGGTGTCTTTTTTCGTCTTTGAAAAGTTTTACGGGACGTAAAAAGTATTTAGTAGTAGTAGTATTAATAATAATAATAATGGTAATATTTGTTGTTGGTATTATGATTATTATTGTCGTTGTTATTGTTATTATAATTAATATTAATATTGTTCATTTTTATTTAGATTTGATAGGTGAGCAAAATTATGAGGTTTGTGAAAAGTTAGGATATAATGTCTTTTATATCTTTTCAAAGAGTAAAAAAGCGCACCCTAAAAATGTGTAAATTTGAAAAGTTAGGGTATAAGATGTTTTACATTTTTAGAGACGAAAAGTTAATTAGTATTATTTTTAAACTTTACACTTACTTTATAATAAAGAATTATTATTATTATAAACTCTTTTGATTGTAAATAACGCTGCATTTATTTGGTTAATGATAAAGTTGTAATTCCGTTCAAAAAAAAAGAATGATATGATGTGTTGTTGAATAGGTGCTTTAAACTTTAAAAGTTATATCAAAATTATTCATTGTTAGCACACATCTTTTTTATCTTGAAAAATTTTATGAACGAAAGAAGTATATAAAGCGGACAGTTTGTGAGATAGAGCATGGTTGTGCTAGACTCATCTTTTATTTTTATTTTTTGCTATACTTATAAATTGAGTAGATTCAATTATGATTCATGACTAAGCTAAAGTAGTTTCATTTTACCCTCGAGATTTACCCTAATTATACTTTCTCTAAGTGGATCGGTCCAATATAATGATGGAGTCTTTGCATGGCTAATTGTTTTAATCCACTTTTAAATAAATTATTAACATTATCATTATTAAAGAGAGATTTGATGTTTAATGTCACGTGATGCATGCATGACGTGTGCCACGTACTCATTTCAGACCGACAAGGCGTCGTTACTAACGGAGGCGGTGAGGTGCGTTAGGGAGCTGAAGAAGGCAACCGCCGAGCTAGCGGCGGCGATCTCGCCGGAAACCACCGCGGACAGCGTCGAAACACCGGCATCGTTCACCACGTTCCCTAGCGAGGCGGACGAGCTGAAGCTGAGTTATACTGGGGACGACGACGACACCCGTGCCGGCAACGTGAGGGCGGCGATCTGTTGCGAAGACAGGCCGGAGATTATGCCGGAGCTTGCCAGGGCTCTGAAGTCGGTGGAGGGGACGGTGGTGCGGGCGGAGATGTCGACGGTCGGCGGGAGGATTAAAATTGCCCTTTGGCTGCGCGTTGAGGGTTTGGGTAAAGGAGGAGATGAGGCGGCGCTGGCGGCGGTAAAATTGGCGCTGAAGGAGGTGGTGGACAGACCCGCCGCCACGGTCGGCTCCGGCAACCACTTGCCCGGTGGGCCCGGAAACAAACGACCACGTCTCTTGATGTAGCATTTGGGATGTCATTATTTTATGATATTTCTCCATAATTTTTAATCTCTCTGTATCTAAATATTTGTCACACTTGTATTCTCGAGACAAAATATTAAGTTTTTTAATTCATTTTATTTACATATTGGTATAGAAATAAAAAAATAAAATTTACATATCAAAAAACTACATGAAAAGTTCTACGAAATAAGAGGTGTTAATAATACTTTATTTTATCAAATAACCAGTGAAAACGTAGAAATAAACAAAAGTTCCCGTGACTGCTGAAATAGAAAATGTGGCAAATATTTTGGGAGGGAGGGAGTATTTATTTACTCATACATGTTCTAATTGGTGGTTAGATATAATAAAATATTTATTAAACTTCTAATTTTATAGATTTTTTCAGAAATTTGAAAATTGAGAAATTATATTTTTTAATTATTTCTATATATGTCAACAACAATATATTTTTTATATGTGTCGGGGATATTGATGACTAATGCAGTGAACATTTATGATTGCGACAATGTCTTTTTTCAACGGATAATATCTTATCAATGGACATGTAGATATTAACAACGATATTAAATACTCCGTATTAGTAGAGTGGGAATATAAAAGTCATTAAATAGTGCATAATGCAATTAATGGAGCGGTGGCGGTACCCTAATGTCTGCAGTTTGTGATTGACGGGCGGTGAAGCACAGTAAGACGTGGTAGGACAGTAAATGTAAAAGTATATAAAGGATATTTTAGTACACTAGAATTACTCCCTCCGTCCCAATTTATAGTGCTTGTTTCCGTTTACGATATTTAATTGAAATTATTTTCAAATCATTTTATATGACAAATGGTATAGAGTTAAAATGTTACATCAAGAGATCTACAAAAGTAATAGTGACAATAGTACTTTATTTTATCAAATTACTAATGAAAATAGAGGAAAAAAGTGTGTGGATGAAGTTTGACCCTGTAAATAGTAAACAGACATTATAAATTGGGACGGAGGGAGTAAAAATGAATATAGGCCATTGTAAATAGGGGTGGACACGGTACCGGTACGGTACCGTCACCGGCAACGGTACCGCCGGTACCCGCCACCGTCACCGGCAAGGTCGCCGTGTCACCGGTTCCGGGAACCGGTACCGGTACCGCCACTTTCGGTACCGGTTCCGGTACCTATTTTTTGGTACCGGTACCGGCGGTACCGGTCCGGTTCCGGTACCGGTATAATTTTTTTTTTTTTTTTTTTTTGATTTGAAATGCAAAAAAGTTAAAAAAAAAAAAGGTGGGGGGCGAAACAATTGCATTCTTTCCTNACCGTACCGTGTCCACCCCTAATTGTAAACTTTATGTGAAATAAAATATTGAAGGTAAATATTTGTTCCCTCTGTTCTCAAAAGATCTCCCCCCTTTATATAGGATGGGAGTGCCAACATACAAGGAAACAAACTACTAATTAAACTAGGAAAAAGACTTCTAATTAGACTAGGAAACAAGATCACAAGAAGTAGGAAACCAAATCCTACAAGGATTCGGCCTTGGTGTAGCGTGAGGCCCAAGACTCGGCAATACCCCCCTCAAGCTGGTGCATGCGGATTACGAATGCCCAGCTTGGGCAACAGACGATCAAATGCAGGAGACCGAAGTGCTTTAGTGAATAGGTCGGCGGGCTGATCAACGGAAGCAATGTGAGACGTACGAAGAATACCACGCTGAATTTCATCATGAACGAAATGGCAGTCTATCTCAATGTGCTTTGTACGTTCATGGAAGACCGGGTTTGCAGCAATGTGAAGAGCGGTCTGGTTGTCACAGTAAAGTGTCATAGGGGAAGTATGTCGTACCCTGAGTGAGAGAAGGAGGGACTGTAACCATTTAAGTTCGCATACGGTGGTGGCCATGGTGCGGTATTCAGCTTCAGTAGAGGAGCGAGAGACCGTGTGTTGTTTCTTTGTACGCCATGATACTGGGGAGTCACCATGTTTAATAACGTATCCGGTGACTGAGCGTCGTGTAAGGGGGCAGCTGGCCCAATCGGAGTCACAAAAGGCGGTGAGAGTAAGATCACAACGGGCCGAGAGAAACAGACCTTGGCCGGGCCGATGCTTGAGGTATCGAACAGTATGCATAGCGGCATCCCAATGTTCCTGCCGTGGGGACCCCATGAACTGGGAAAGCGTATGTACGGCGTAAGCAAGGTTGGGACGGGAGATAGTCAGATAAATGAGGTGGCCGACCAGTCTGCGAAACTGCCCAGCCTTGGCGTGTCCCAGTTCTGCCCCAGTCGCCAATGCTAAACGGTGGTTCACCGGAAGGGGTGCTTTAGCCGGTCGGGAACCAAGCATCCCTGTTTCAGTCAAAATATCCAATGTGTATTTACGTTGGCATAGGAAAATGCCGTGTGATCCGCGGGCGACTTCAATACCCAAAAAATATTTCAATGGCCCCAAATCCTTCATATGAAACCGAGTGGATAAGAACTATTTAAATTTAACAATATAGTGTTCATCACTTCCAGCAATCACCAAGTCATCCATATAAATGAGGACACGAAGCTCCACACACCCCCTGACGAGAACAAATAAGGAGTAGTCTGCCTCGGACTGAACAAACCCAAACGAACGTAAAGTAGACGTTAATTTTGCAAACCAGCAGCGTGGAGCCTGACGTAGACCATAGAGAGACTTATGAAGGCGACACACCAATCCTTGTTGACGTGCAGAGGACCCAGGAGGTAATCGCATATATACCTCATCATCAAGATCACCATGGAGAAAGACATTATGAACATCCATCTGGTGCAAACTCCAATTTCGGGTTGCAGCAACCGCAAGGAGCATACGAACAGATACTAATTTAGCAGTGGGGGAAAATGTTTCTTTGAAGTCAATACCTTGCTTTTGTTTGTTTCCCAGCACGACCAGACGTGCCTTGTAGCGTTTAATCGTTCCATCCGACTTATGTTTGATTTTGAACACCCACTTGGAACCAATCGCCTTTTTACCACGCGGAAGAGGCATGAGTGTCCATGTTCGATTATCCTCCAACGCTTGTATTTCGTCTTTCATTGCTTGCCGCCATTGGGGGTGCTGGAGTGCTTCAGAAAAATGGGTTGGCTCGACCTCTGCACTGATCGCTGCCAAAAAGCTCTATGCGACAAAGTAAAATTGTCATAATTAACAAAATTTGTAATACAGTGCTTAGTACCTGAAGGTGGGGCTGGAGACAGGGAGGCACTCGAGGGTCCTTGAATGGCGTGAACCACGAAGTCACGAAGCCGCGTAGAAGGTTGTTTATCAGGGGTACTACGGCGCAAAGGAACGAGAGGAGAAGGGTGTGGCTCAGAAGGAGTATCAGTAGGGGTTTCGATGGTATGATCAGGGCTAGGCTCGGGTGTGGATTAAAACCATCTATGCATAGGGCAAGCCTAACATTTCTAGGATCACTTGAAAACTTAGGATAACATGTATCAAAATGCTTCCATGCATCACCATCACACAAATGTCGTAGCGTGTCACTAGTTATTTCCATGTTTCTCGCATGCCATGTCATTTGATTGTTAGTTTTGGATGACATGTACATACGCTTTAATCGATCAATAATGGGAAGGTGACGATAAATTTTCTTAGCTATGTGTTTCTTCCTTACTCCTCTATTCATTGTACATTCAATATAGCGAGATTCGCCACAAGTTGTGCATTCTAACAAAGTCATTGTATCTTTATAGTAAAGCATGCAATTGTTCGAGCACACATCGATTTTCACCATCAATAGACTCAAGCCTTTCATCATATGTTTCACTTAATAAAAACTTTGTGGTAAACAGTTATCATTAGGCAACACCTCTTTAAAAATACTAAGTATTTTGCTGAAACATGTATCCAACATGTTATATTGACTTTTAACACTGTACTTAGTAATTGTGCCACTATTGACAACTTTGTGAACTTTTCAATTCGCAGCCTTCATATAATGGTGTTGATGAATTAACAATCATTTTATAATATTGTTCTGCAGAAAAGTCTTGATTCTCGTTACATTCAACCTCGTTGTTCTCATAATTCCCTTCATTATAATCATCCTCATCATCAAAATTAGGTTGATCGTCTTCATCACATTCTAAAGCATAATTATGACTATACACTGGCCCAATATGTTCAAAAATCATTTGCTCAAAATTAGACTCAAATATATGCGGTGACTCCTTTTCAGCTTCACATCTTTGTGAGTTTGATGTCTCCCCTCGAAAAAAAGTAGAAGATGTTTCCAACTTCTCACAGTGACAATACCAAACCTCATAATTCTTCATAAATCCATTGTTTCGCAAATGCTTATCAATTTTAATAGAACCCCAAAAATATCTTAATCCACATTTCTTACAGGGACATTTTACCATATCTTCATTATTGGCAAATGCAACTTTCATAAAATCTTGAACACCATTTAAAAATTCGGGATTTATCCAACCATTTTCCAACAAACGTTTTCCCATCCATTCCCTTCTATTTGACATTAGTAACTAACCTACATTGATAAAAAAAATAATATAATTAAATTATTGAAAATTCATCTATATGATAATTTTTGTATAAATTAAATGAAGAAGTATTTCAATCAATAACATAATTAAGCTGGACTTAACTACAAAAATTTATTGTATAAAAATTGATTGAAATATATATCTCTTGCATTTTAATACATGAATAATAATAATAATAATAAACAGAGAATAACTCAAAATCCAATATTCTATAAAACATAATTACATACCTGAGAAATGAGATTGTAAATTTTCTGATTAAGTAGAAGCGATAAAACAAGATTTTTGAATGAGGATAGTCCTAATATTTGATATGTGTATATCTAGGTAAAGGAAATAAAAATGGAAGATAATGTTTAAGGAAGAATAAAAATTCATTGAAAGAAAAGTATATTAGTGATTGGAAGTTAAGAAAGGAATGACTTCTAAACACAAGATACTGGGTGAAAGATATAAATTCCATCAAAAGGCGGAAATCGGTCTCTCATATTTGTCTCAACTTTTGAGACGGAAATTCGTCCCTATTTTTCGTCTTTGTTCAAGAGACAAATATGCGTCTCTTTTTCTATCTTGTTTGCCCTTACATTCTTGTAGTGATTGTAAGATCATATGTAGGGCCGGCCGGTCCAAGGGGGGCCGCACCAAGCAGGCCAATCAGACCGGGCCTAATATTTTAACCAACTTAATTTTTTCATATTATGCATATATATTCAAACTCCGTACTATTCTTCCATTAAAATAAATATCCCAATTGTCTAGCATAAGGCTCGAACTTGAGCACTTTGAAGTGTAAAGAGATACTTCATTCACTTGAGCTACTCTATTTGTTGGTACAAAACAAATAATGCAATAAGATATATATTTATTGGATTGATTTCAATAAAACTTCCAATTATTTAGAAAAAGTAACGCAAGTAGTATATAATGTACTTGTTTAGTAAACTTATAAAAATAGTTTATAAAATAAATAAACAAAATTATTTTTTTATTTAAAAATTAATATGAATACTTATACCTAAAAATAATTTTTCTCAAAACAAAAAATAACTAAAAATTTTATCATCAATAAAAATTAAGTGTAAAATGCTAAATATAAGTGTAAAATGCTACACACGAATTGCAGAGTATTATATAAAAACACATTACCTAGCCTTTACTTTTTTTAAAAAATATGACTATTGCCTTACTATTTTAGTTTTGTTAGATACTCATTATTTATCTTTGATAGTAATAAAAAATACAGAGTAATACATATAGCAAATTGAAAAAATATGACGGCATGTGCAAAATGATATTGAAAATTAAATGGAAGAGTGAAAAACATAAGTATAATATCTAATAATATAATATAAAATGTTATTCTTTTGATTATAGTTAATCGAACCATTGACCCTCGAATTGACCAGTTAAATCTTGACCCACTAGGTCGTCCGAGTCGACGTCTTATCTAATTTTTAAGACATTAGTTTGGGAAGGTAAGTATAAATAAACCTTTTACTATAATTTTGTATGTGATTTATTTAGTTTGTTACATAGTATTATACTATTATGTTAATTGTTATTTAAATATAATTAGCTTATACACATTAATTCGTTAAGACATTAGGATTAAGATCGACCTTTAGGGTCGAGTACATATACCATACATCCGGATATACGGTATTTCCCGTATATCTGCATGAATACTCATTTTCGAGTAACTCAATATTCATTTTCAAGTATGAGAGTACTCATTTTCAAGTAACTGAATACTCATTTTCAAGCATAATTGAATTTTATAAAAATGTGTATATAGTTAATTACTCGAAAATGAGTATTCATTTGCTCAAGGATGAGTATTCCGTTATTTGTAAATGAATACTCGTTGCGGATGTACGGGAAACACCGTACAACTGATTGTACGCTATATAGAGGAATTTACTAAAATAGCACTAAAACATAATGACTTTCCCTAAATAGTACCACATGTGTTTTTCTTCCCAATGTAGCACTTTTAGTGATTATGCATTAGTCATTATTCAAGTAAATATTCGTCATTATTAAGTGCTATTTAGGGGAAAAAAAGTTTAAATGCTATTTAGGGAAATGACTTAAGTTTAGTGCTATTTAGTATAAATATTTTTAGATAGAATCCAATAGCACTTCATGTACTACCTTTTATTTCATTATTGTGGGGTATATTATACATTCGGTTTGACAAATACATATTATTGGACTTATGTTGCATGGTGCATATATATATAATTTTTAGATGTATATGTGTGTATATATATATGTCTCTAAGGCTTGGCCTCATTATTGCCGCGGAGGGTTTGTTGATGGTAAGCCAGAGCTTCTTCAGCGGTGCCGCAGCATCTACTGCAATGCCCACCGTAGTACCCGCCGCAGCAGTGTCTGCAATGCCCACCGTAACCGCGGCCTCCGCCACCGCCGTAATGGCCGCCTCCACCGCCGTAATGGCCGCCTCCGCCTCCGCCGCCATAACTCCCGCCGTAATAGCCGCCTCCATGTCCTAACACTTTTGCTGCACTTGTAAACACATTTCGATGAGTAGGGCTGGTGGGAGGGGGTTAGAGGGGGGGTAGGCACAAACATAGTATATTCAAGTAGATTTAGAGTCAAAGTTTGTAAATTTGATCAAAAAAGTCAAACAATGAAACTTTTAAGGGACACAAGAAGTATAATAATTTTATATTTGTTGTAAAATATTCGTTCATTTTAACGTTTTAGAGTGAAAATAGATATAAAAAAGGGTAATTTGCCCAAATAGGATTAAAACATAATGACTTTCTCAATATAGGATAATATGTTTTTATTTTCCAATGTAGGACCATTGGTCATTATCTATTAGTCATTATTCAATTAAATGTCCAGCATCACTTAGACTTTATTCTTCTCACAAGTCATTATTAAGTCATATTTATGAATAAAAAAGTTTAAGTCTTACATTGGAAAATGATTTATGTTTTAATCTTATTCAGTGCAAATTTTACATAAAAAAATTGATCATAAAATAAAAAAAAAGTTGTATCAGATAATTGTACCAAAATCATTCATTATATACGGAGTATTTATCTTGTTCTAAACTATTACAAATGTTCTTTTAAAAAGAAACCCTAATGACATTTGTGGAAGCTCTCTTAAATCAGCCAAAAATCATAACTAGAAAACTTTTACGGGACGAAGTGAGTATTATATTTCATTGTATTACGGAGTAATATGTAATGAAAACTTATATTTTCTCCGTCCTAAAACGTTCTTCCCATTTCCGTTTACAAAATTTGACCGACGTTATTTTCAGTTCAGTTTATTTGATTGTAGGTGTAAAATTAAAAAATAAAATTTATAAATTTAAAAACTACACCAAAAGTTCTATAAAACAAGAAGTGACAAGACTATATATTATTTTATCAAATAAGTAACAAAAATATGTAAATAAAGTGACTAAAGTTTGACCGTGTAAATAGTAACTGGGAATAACATTTTAGGGCGGAGGGAGTATATACTCCATCCATCTCATATCTCTCTTCCAAGTTTGACTTTGGTAATCAATATTTTTAAACTTTGACCACATATTACGAAAAAAATAAAATGAATTGTCATATAAATTTAATATCAATAGAGACAAGTTAAAACGTAGTTCTAAAATATCATATTTTTATATATTCTACTCTGTATATATTTATATATAAATAATGATATTACATAGTAAAAGATAGTCAAAGTGTTACATTAGAAACCGTAAAAATATAAATGAGAAAAAAAATACTCTCTCCGTCCTAGCTAGAAAACCTTTCTCTTTTCTTTTTTCATCCGTCCCAAAAACACTTCTCATTTCTATTAAAAAGTCACTTTTACCCCTTACTTTTTCATACCCTACCTATCACATCATAACTTTTTACTAATAATCTATCCATCAAATCATACTTTTACTCATCACATCAAAGGACATTTTTGGAAATTCAATACCAAAATACACTCTCCTTAAATCCCTCTTCAAAATCAAAACTCCCATGTTTTCCAGGACGGAGGGAGTATGAAACAGAGGCAGTTCTAAATATAATTGATGATTTAATATCGTTAAATTTAATTCAAAAAAATCAAACCGAACAAATACTAGAAAGTACTGAAATAATTACCCTTTACTTCATCATCTTTGGAGGTCTCATCAGCCCCAAGGGCTAGAGAAGCAAAGAGGAAAAGTGCAACGAGAACAAACAAAGCGGTATTTGCTTTCACCATGATTGGAAACCTTTGAATTACTTATCTTTGGGGATTAAAGAGTAAATAATTAATTTTACTAGTGAGCGGTATTATTTTTTTAATTTTATTTTACAGAAAATGCAAAATGGGTGGCCAAAATATATATAGTAGTAGTACGTGCATGGAGATGGTGAGATGGAGTGTCACGAATTGTTTTAAAATAGTAAAAAATAAAATTGTATACGTAGAGGGAGACAATATTTGGTGGCAGATGGTAAATTGCAACAATATTCATTTAATGAATCCTACGCAGGTACATTGTCCTTAGTATAATGTGACTCAACACTCATTCCTTTGTATATCCGGACTAGAAAAATAATACTCCTGTCCCGTTTTAAATCGCTCGTCTTGACTTTGAGCATATCTAAGGAAGAGAAAAAATAGAGTTGACTTTTTGAAATTGTCATTACTTTTTAGGAGGGGTGACGATGAATGAGAAGATAAGGTGGAGAAGAGTGACTTATTTTAGAGGTAGTTTAGGTATTTTACTCTTAAAAGTTTACGATAACAAAAAACAGACAACTTATTTTGGGACGGAGAAAAAAAGAAAACAGACAATCTAAAATGGGACGGAGGGATTATGCATTTTGAAATCTGAAACGAATTTATTCGGAAAGCCTTAAAATCATAATTTAATTAATAATAAATGGGTGACCGACAAAAGGGTTATTTTGCCTTGACAATGATAGCTGGTAACAGAGAATGATTAACGGTTAAGAGTTATATCAAACCTATGAATTGATATCTCTCAAATTTAAGAGATAAAAACCCTCCATTCAAAAAATGTATGATATATGAAAATATCTAATTCGATATCTCTTTGATTTCACCAAGCCACCAAAAAAATTCTGAAATCTTAAGCTATCAAAATTCATATTTTGTTTGCTCACCAAACACCTTTTAAAGTTCTTACAATAAGTCATATAAACTTAATTACTCGTATGATCTAACTATATCTAAAGTTTTATGAAACCAAGTGTCATAACTATATTATCTTATAGTGAGTATTAAAAACTAAATAATGAAAGCAATTAAAATTTAACTATGTAAATAACAAAAGGAGTACAAGGGTGTCATAGATGAATTAGGGACCCTAGGAAGATTTTGGGGACAAGAAATTCTACGGAAATGCAAACACGAGAGGGATAAGCCCTACAGGAGGAGAGCATTCTAAACCACATTGCTTCAGACATGAAAACAATTTTGCCCAAATGTTGCAGAATCTTTACACCTGTTTGCAAAATAAGCACCAACACCCCCTCTGTTTTCAAAACTCATTTCTAAAATCCCTGTGGTTTCAAAATGTTGCACTCGTGCCCCCTCTGATCATTTTCCGGCCATTTTTCCGGTGAAGAAGGGGGGCATTGGTGCATATTTTTTAAACCATAGGGGTATCAGTGCTGATTTTTATTTTCTCGCATATTTTTTGTTTTTTCCTTTTTTTGTTTCATTTATTAATAAAGGTTTTTTTTTAAAATTATTTTTATAATGTTCTTAAAATGTAAAGTTATTTTTGTTTGAAAAAATAACATATAATGCATATGTACTTCTCAAATTAACAATTTTTGTTTTTTTATGAAAAAAAGTATTTTTTTTAAGAACATCAAAAAAATGATGAATAAAATAAAAAACAAATTAATACAAAAATAAAAATGAATATCCTTTTTGGACATCTTAATTCTATGGATTTTTTTAGGCATGTCCAATTTTTTTTGTATAAGACTTTTTTTGCGTATTTTAATTTTTTTTCATTTCGTTTTTCATATTTTTATTTTATTTTATTTTTTTTTGAACTTTCCAAAAATTATTCTAAGTAACAAAGAGTGAAAATGTTTAATTTGATTTAGATGTAATATATGTTAGTTTTTTTATTTTTATTTTCATTTCAAACACAGAATTTGAAAATTTTTAAAACATTATAAAAATTTGAAAATATATTTTAAAATATATTCAAACCACAAGGAGTACCGAAGCTATTTGGCCGCAATCACCAATAACACATGGCCTAACAAAGGGTTGTAAAACCCCTCATGCCCGTAACACATAGTCTAACCATATTAATACTTTCTCCGTCCCGTTTTAAATCGTTCATTTTGACTTTGAAAAATATTTTAAAAAAAAAGAAAAAATAAAGTTGATTTTACAAAATGGTCATTACTTTTTATGAAGAGTAACGATGAATTAGAAGATAAGGTGAAGAAGAATGACTTATTTTAAGGATAGTTTAAATATTTTACTCTTAAAAATTTACGATAACAAAAAACAGACAATTTATTTTGGGACAGAAAAAAAGGAAAACAGATAATTTAAAATAGGACAAAAGGAGTATAATTTATAAAGCACACAAATAAACCGTCCATTTCTATAAATTGGCAAAATTTGAACCCATATATAACTTGAAGATGACAAAGGATGGGAAGAGAAAACCATTAAATTTACAGAGGAAAACAAACTCATTTCATTATATGGCTATGCATTAGTAGTACAACACATCCATTTTCCACTTCAAGCTCTCTCTTCGCAGAGGACAACCTTTTACAATAAAAGATATCAAGTTCAATCCCTATCAGAACCCAAGACGTTTTTCTTCAGCTCTTCGACTTTCAATGCCAATTCATCCCGGTTTCTCTGCCAAACCAAATTGAAGTTGTCACACTTTATGTATATAAAAAATTTATTTCTTATCTTGCGACTAATAAAACGATTCCAACCGCTAATCAAGGATGTGTTTGGGGACAAATTTCCAATCCACATTTTGGGTTATTGTTTAATGTTGCAATCTAACTTCAGAACACTAATGCTAAAAGGTTGTCATTAGATAGCCTATTCTAAAAGCTAAATGCTAAAGCTATTTCCAAACAAACCCCAAGTATATTCAAACAACAAGCTTCCCTCACTACTTCCAACTTTCTATGGAATATGGGAAGCAAAATAATGCATCACAAATATTAGCCTTACTATTTTTAAAAATGGAGTTAGGCTGGTTAGATGGTTAATTATGTGGGAGCATTTGGGATAACGTAGGCTGGTGATGATTCGCTTTTGCCTACACTATATTTTCAGCCAATCTAGGGGCCTGTTTGGCAAAAACTAAAGAATTTAGCTTCGGCATTTTGACATAGGGTTACTTTTTTTCTTTCCAAATTGCTACTCTTAAAAGTCAATTAAATTTTTACTTTTTAAGGTTCATGTAATTTAATAACTTTGGAAGATGAACAGTTCTACTATATATACAAGTACGGGTGTGTGTGCCCATACAGAACTCATCTAGATACCTGTAATTATTTATGGCAAATTACACAAAAAGGTGAGAGTGATTTAAGAAATAGGACCCTTTTTAGATATTGAAATCTGAAATTACCTTAAAAAGTAGATAGCGAGTGCTGAACCAAAGAGTGTAGCCAAGACCAACAACTTCCATCAATTTGGGGAACTGTTAAATGAATCAAAGTATTAAGTAACCAACAAGAAATGTAAGCATGCAACAAAGAAGCAAAGAGAGAAGAGTGTATGGTTTGCAGACCAAAGGAATAGCATCAATAGCACCAACAACAGCACTGGTCAACCAAAGAGCAACTGCAGCACCTCCACCGAGTGCAATCAGTGACGAAAGATTTTCAGGATCGAACTGCACGCATTTACAAAATAAGAAAACACTTGTTGAATTGACAAGACAAACAAATTCAATATGAGTTTTTGAATGAAAATTTTAGCATCATTTACATCACTATGTTAAAAAAAATATTGATGAATTATTCAAAGAAAAAATTGATTTTTCAGTTTAAGCATACAACATATGAGAATGATTTTACTACTCACACACCAAAAGGTTGCTCAGTTAAGCTCTCAAGTTTGACAGTTTCACCAATGTCAAAATTAATTATTTATTGATCATTAATTTCTAATTGGTGATAATGTTCTAAAACTATTCTCATTTTAAGAATCAGAAAATGTCTAAAGAAATAATACATAGTTTAACCATGTGAATAGAGAACCACAAGTCCAAAACATTCTTTTGGGACAGGGAGAGTACTAAAAGAATAAAATGTTACGCTTAGAACAAATCTACAAACGCATACAAATATTGTTATTAAGGTTTTATATGAAATGAGGATAATAAGATGCTCAAAACACGAGGTTGCTCAGTTAACCGCTCAGAATTGGCAACTTGCCAATGTCACATCTGATCTTGATAGATCTTCAAGAGAATAAGAGACATCATTGCAACCGTCTTAGAACTATCAGTCAACTCACAGTATCACAATATAGTGGCATCAAACAAAGCTTGGTTTTAATCCAAGTTCATATAAAACTAAAGTATATCCCAGTAAAAGTCTGAAGAATTTAATAGTAAAACTTAGATGCATAAAATACAAGGTTGCTCAGTTAACCGCTCAGAATTGGCAACTTGCCAATGTCACATGTGATCTTGACAGATCTTCAAGAGAGTAAGAGAGACATCATTGCACCCTTTTATGACACTTTGATTACAAACTAAACATAATCTAAAATAAATAAATTTAAAAAAATTAAAATATCAAAATTAAATCTTAAGATGAATTCAATTAAATTGAAATTACATTATAATTAAATATACTTATCCCACAATGTGTGGTAGAGTGTGTCGGCCAGATGTAGGACTTGCAAAATACCAAAGTGAGTAAAAAAAATAACCAAAAAGAGAAGTCAACTAATTATTCAAAAAACAATAATATAAAAGCATAAAAACGATAGTTAGGTTTCTACACATGCATATCCATGATGATTTTTACAAGTACATGATACTCGTATAAGATTACCATTATTCTCAAAATACAAGGTTGCTCAGTTAACCGCTCAGCATTGGCAACATTGCCAACATAACATCTGATCTTAATTGATCTTCAATAAAGTAAGAGACACATCATATCAAACTTGTCTAACGGTGGTGAACCAAAATTAAAATAAGAGACTAATATATTGTAGAGGATACCAACTACTAAGATAAATCCAAAAGCCAAAATTAGGAATAGAATCCAAAAAAAGCGCCTGACGATAAGAAAAAAGGTTGGAGTAATTACCATGAAATCATATGCAAAATAGCAAGTGATAGTTATATTATCATTTAAAACACGCATATACAATAGGTTACTGTACAAAATCAACAGTTTTTATGTAAAGCAATCAATTGGGCACTTGTGTTAACAATATTAAGGCTGCTCAGGTAACCGCTCAGGATCAACATTACTGTTGAGCTTTCATTAGGCATGAATGAGCCTTCATCAATTGATTGTACTCATCACAGCAGCCATACGAACAATCAGAACATACTGTAAGTAATTTATACAATCCACAATAGAACAGACTGAGAGCAAACCTCTATATCAAGTTCTTCAAAAAGATTGGACAATTGTGCTCGAATTTCTGAGAGTGGATTTACTTCTGCATCCTCATTCTTGGCAGTACTGTCATAGTCATCGTCCTGTTCAGATGATCTACTTTGCACAGCTTCAATGGAATTTATCTGATCAACAGATTTAGAATCTTCGGTAGTGATAAAGTCATCAGATTCAGCCTTCACATATCGACTGGTATAGCTAGATGCTTCTTCTGATTTAAACAATCTGACAGACGAATTAGTGTAATGTAGGCCTCCTGTAATGAAAACAAGAATAATTACCCCAAAATCAAACAGCATTTCCGTTTTACTTCCGGGATGAAATTCTCTGATAATGAATGATTAATGCGTCATACTAAGAAACAATCTACAGAAAACTATATGAATTTGATGAAGTAAAACAGTGAAACGCATGAACAATAGCGAAATCAAAACCGGTAAAAAATAAATATGCTAAAATGAACGCCGGAGAACGAAAATAACCTGGATTGAATCCTAAATTCGAAGCCCTCTGAATCCATGGAAGGCGTGTGTGATATGGAGTGAAAATCCGGCCATGCCAAGGAAGATTGGAGAGAGCTCGAGATGTGCAAATCTCCATATCAGAGGTATGATAATGGCGAATGCCGATATCAACAGATTCTGCCGTACAGGTCGCCGGAGAAGCACTGGTTCTGAGCGGAGAGCGAAGAGAATGAGTATGGCGGAGTATATAGCGGCGGAGAATTGTGGAGAATTCGAAGAGCTGCGAATTAGGGTTTTGTTGTATGGGAGAAGACGGAAAGCTTTTACTGTAATCAGTTCGGAATAATGGGCCAACATTCTTCAAGGCTGAACCTTACGTTTTTTTGTTTTCCAATATAGAGGCCCAATGATTAGTGGGCTTTGAAAGAAGACAAGCCAAAAAAAGTTGGAAAGACGATAGCATCTTGAAGACTTGAACGAGTAAATTTAATAAATGGTCTTTTATTACTGAAAAATTTTCATAAATAGTTCTCAATTATAAAATATTACATTCATTTATATTTATAATTCATTTCATAATGGATCATTTGACCCAATTATTACTCTCACATATAGTCTGCAAAAGATTGAACATACAATAGTTATCAAATATTGAAAAATATAAAAGATCATTTATAGAATTTACTACAAGAGTCATACTTTGTGATAATAATAATAATCCGTAATAAAGTTATAAAAAAATTGGTCTTTCTCTTTGAGTTAGGATGTTTGATTAAATATTCTCAATACATTTTTTAAAATAATGATTAATGTAAAAAAACTCTATAAATTTTACTCTTTATATAACTAAAAAATACATCATGAAGTTGATTTTGAAATATGGGATTTGACTATTTTATAAAATACTTTTCACGTCCTAAGTTAGACTATAATTTTAGTATTACGAGCTATATCCTCATATTTTTTAACCATTTTATTTAAAAATAAGTATAAAAATAAAATTTATATATTAAAAAGCTAAGTCAACTTTGAGATGAAAGGAGTACATCAACCTTTGTTTGAAAGAGAGAAAATAAGAGTGGAAAACAATGAGGCATGTACATGTATTATGTTTGGAAGAGGGTGTAAAATAAAAAGTGAAATTTACACTAAATGGGACTAAAACATAATGACTTTCCTAATGTAGGACTTAGACTTTTTTATTCCTTAAATAGGACTTAATAATGACCTAGTGGGAGGAATAATGTCTAGTAATGATGGACATTTACTTGAATAATGACTACTTGATAATGACCAAAGATCTTACATTGGGAAATAAAAATATATGGTCCTATATTGGGAAAGTCATTATGTTTTAGTCCTATTTAAGTAAATTTCTCTAATAAAAATGGATATAAAATATGAAAGTATTTTCCTTCCTATTTATTCTTTTCAAAAAGATGAGTGGTAACTACTAAGATATAATTAAGAGGTAAAATAAGATTTATTTTCTTTCCTCTCTATTAATTCCAAACACGAGGAAAAATAATTTTTATTTTTTTCGTCTTTATTTTCCATCTTTATTCTCTTTCTCATCTAAGGGGTTGTTTGGCAACTTCTGAATAGGTAAGTGCTGAACCAGTAAGAGGTCTGAACCATTAAGTGTTGAACCAATAAGAGGTCTGAACCATTAAGAGCTAGTATATTGCTTAACTATTCAGAGGCAAATGTCTGATCAATTCAGATAAGATGTCTTAACCATTCAGACTCTGTATAATACTTAACCATTCGGAGACAAATCTCTTAACCATTCAGACATCTGAACCATTAAGAGGCTGAAACAAACAGTCTGAACCATTAAATGCTGAACCATTCAGACATCTGAACCATTAAGAGGCTAAAACAAACAGCCCCTAAAAATTTTCCAAAAAGAGATTAAAGTTTACCACCAAAATATAGTATCTCAAGGTTAAACCTTTGTTATCCCAAGATTTCAATGTACGGAGTATCTTAATTTTAAAAGATTGACAATGAGATATAATATTTGCATAAGGCCACTATCTCAAAGTCAAACTGCACCCATCTTCTAAAACTACAGAGTAAAAGAACCCTCTTTCTTCATCCTTTTAGCTCTCTCCTTTCTGTTATATTATTGGTACTAGCTTGGACTACTCTATGGACATCGTCCTGATTACTCATATCTTCGTGTCTTCGGCTGTCTTGAATATCCTCATCTTCGTCATGAGGTTGATCATAAACTCCATTCACTTTCAAAACCTTGTGTCTTTGTTGGCTACGAGCCTCATACCAATGACTATTGTTGCCTTGACCCTGACACTCACCGCGCCTATGGTACTCGTCACGTTTGTTTCCATGAGTCATAGTTTCCATATGGAGCATTACCCGTGTCCTCTCACACACCTACAACTTGTCATGTGTCTACTAATTTCTTTGGTGTCTTACCCCTCTTTTTGGGGTTCTCTCGTGTGTCCCAAAGTCCTGCTCACGATCCTCTGCATCCTCAACCTACTCCTATCCTACCAAAACTCCCACCAACCTTCACCTTATACCTACCTCACCCACCGCTACTGACCCCACTCCAACCTAGCATGTGCCAACGACCCACGTGGACAGCCCCTCCCTTATCCCTGATCACCTTTCATCTGAATCCCATAACCCCAGTACCACTGTATCATCTACGGCCAACCCACCCCCATCGCCTATTCCCTCACATCCGATGACCACTCGTTCCAAAAGTGGCATTTTTAAACCCAATATATATTCTTCCACCATCCCCTATGATAAACCCTCACCAACAGAACCCACATCCTACAAACAAGCCTTCCAAAACAGATATTTGTATCAGGCTATGGGTGATGAATTTGAGGCGTTATAGAGACAGGGTACTTGGGTATTGGTTCCATATCCTCCAGACCGTTTCCCTATTGGATGCAAGTGGGTTTGTCGCATAAAACGCAACTCTGATGGCTTTATTTCTCGCTACAAAGCACACCTTGTGGCTAAGTGTTATGATCAAGAATATAGCTTGGATTACTCCGAGACTTTTAGTCTTGTGGTTGAACAACAACCCGTTCGTGTTGTCCTCTCTATTGCTATACACTATCTTTGGCCTCTTCATCAGCTTGAAGTTTCTAATGCTTTTTTGCATGGTGAGTTGCAAGATGAGATATACATGACTCAGCCTTCGGGGCATATAGATCAGCGTTATCCTCATCATGTTTGCAAATTAGTAAAAGAACTATATGGCCTTAAGCAAGCTCCTCAGGCATGGTATCTACGACTCACTTTTTTTTTGACGGCCTATAGATTTATCACTACCACTCGTGACACTAGTCTATTTATCAAGCACTCTTCGCATGGATCTCTAATCTTGTTGGTATATGTTGATGATATTGTCATTAACGGCTCCTCTTCATCTCTTATTCAGGGTTTTATCCGAAGTATGCAGCATGAATTAGAAATGAAGGATCTTGGACCTCTTTAGTACTTTCTTGGACTTGAAGTGCAACAGGTGATCGTCTCCTTCTCCATCTGACTAAGTGTGCTGGTGAGCTTCTTCATCGTGCGGGTGTTGACACTGCAAAACCAGTGCCTTTGCTAATCAGTCCTAGTTCCTCCGCAGATGGCGTGAATGTTCCTTTCCATAATCCTCGTCTCTTTTGCAGTTTAGTTGGGGGTCTTCAGTATCTCACTGTTACCAGGCCAGATATCCAATTTGCTGTCAACTTTGTTGCCTAAAAGATGCACAGCCCCATAGAGAAGGATTTTCATACGTTAAAACAGATTCTGCGTTATGTCAAGGGTATCATCTCACAGGGTCTTGTGTTCGGCAAGGGGGGTATGCGTCTACGAGGCTACTCTTACTCTGATTGGGCTAATGATCCTCAGAATAGTCGCTCTACCACTGTGTATCTTATTTTTCTTGGCAATAATCTTGTATCCTGGAGTACGGAGAAGCAAACAAGGGTATCAAAGTCCCTACTGAAGCCGAATATAGAGCACTCTCTGTCGCAACATCGGAGGTAATGTGGCTCACTTACATTCTGACCGATTTGCATATAGCCACTCCACCACCGGTCCTTTATTGTGACGATCAGTCTGCCATTTGCCTCTCAAAGAATTCTGTTTTTCATAAAAAGATGAAACACGTTGGAACAGACTGTCACTTTGTTCGTGAACAAGTCTTCGATGGGTCCGTGATTGCTGAGCATATATCCTCCGAGTTTCAATTGGCTGATTTTCTCTCAAAGCCGTTAACGTCACAGTGTTTTCACTTTCTTATATCCAAGCTTCATCTTGCTACTGCAAAACTCAGCTTGAGGGGGATGTTAGATAAGATATATAATTATGTTATATTATTGGACTCTTGTGTAATTATCTAGCCCACTATCTCTATATATATTGTATCAGACTATACGTATCACTTGACTAATTTCATTATTCCGTTATTCTATCAGAAATGATTTCGAAAAAATAAAGAAATAAAAACCACTACCAAATAGAGGAATGTTACATGTTGCTAAATGATCAATGTCATATAGGGACTAGGAACGAGTTGTTAGGTTGTTTAAGCACGTCTAATTAGGAGTCAACATAAATTGCTATTTTTTAATTTAAAAATTAGTTTAAATCATATTTAAGATATAACAATATAACACTTTTATTTTGGGATAAGAGCTATGTTTTAATCTTATCAATATATATTGCTTAATTATCTAATTACCAAAAATTAATTATCTTAAAAATCAAAGAATAAATCTATTGTGGTGAATAATTGATTAAAATACTTCCTCCGTCCCAAAAAGATCGTTACGTTTCATTTCTTTGCGCATCACAAAAAGCAATGCTACTCACATCTAAAATTTACCATATTTACTCTTTATTATAAGATGAAATTGTTTTGAAAGTTTTTTTGGCATTTGAGACGATATAAAAATATTTTAAGGGATGCGCAAAGAAATGAAACGTAACGATCTTTTTGGGACGGAGGGAGTATTAGAATGGCACCAAAAAGAAAGATTGAGAACATGCATTCCGAATTCGTGCGGATGACGTGTAAAGGAAACTTGTAGGATTCCAAATTATTTAACGAATCTTTTTCATTTTTCTTAGAATTCTTTACACTATAATACTCCATGTAATAATAATTCCAAATTAGAGAACAGGTAAAATTCTAATCCAATCCTAATTAAAATTTCTTCATTATAAAATTAAACAGATACTTGATGAATTGATAAGTATAAAAACTGCTAAAAACTTTTACTTTCCTAAAACAATATTTATATTTGGAATTATGATCAAAACTATTTTTAATTTAATTTATTTAAAAACTCATATGAATTTACACTATAAATTTCAAAAATAATTCCAAAAAATTATAAGTATAAAACAAAAACTGACAAAATTATATTATTTTAACAACTAATAAATAACCAATGACAAATATACAAAGTATAAAGAAATGGAATATGCTTTAATTATATGAATAGTAAATGAAAAAAGTTGAAAAAAAAGAGGAAAGTATGGAATAAAATTTAAAATAAGAATCCCATAAAGAAAAAATAAAATAAGAATCCCATGTAAATTAGAATTCTATTCCTATTAGGACGCCAAGAAATCTCAACCGTCCGATAAGGTTCAGACAATCCCCTTAAATTATGATGCCAATGCCATACGTGTAATCCCACTCCCATCTCAATCTTCCCTTCAATTAATTTCTCAGCAAGAAAAAAATTTCTGAAATTCTTTGCAGCGATCATGACGGTGGCGCCGGAAAACTTGAGCCGGGAACAGTGCCTGTACATGGCGAAGCTGGCGGAGCAAGCGGAGCGGTACGAGGAGATGGCGAAGTACATGGACAGGCTCGCGGTCGACTCCGCCAAATCCGGGCCGGAGCTGACGGTGGAGGAGCGCAACCTCCTCTCCGTCGCGTACAAGAACGTGGTCGGCTCGCTCCGGGCGGCGTGGCGCATAGTGTCGTCGATCGAGCAGAAGGAGGAGAGCCGCCGAAACGACGACCACGTGGCGCTCGTCAGGGATTACAGATCCAGGGCGATTGAGTCGGAATTGTCCGCCGTTTGCGCCCAGATTCTCGGGATTCTCGACCAGCATCTCATTCCGGCCACCGCGGACTCCTCGGAGGCGAGAATCTTCTATATGAAGATGAGGGGAGACTACCACCGTTACTTGGCGGAGTTTAAGGTCGGGGATGAGAAGAAACAAGCCGCCGAGGAAACTATGGCTGCTTACAAAGCTGCACAGGTCTGTAAAAAAAAATTTACTGCCCTTTTTTCCCTTGCATTCAGTATCAGTAATTTTATTATTATTATTATTATTATTGGGTTAATTGAATTTGTGAACATTGAAATTATTTTTTTTTAAAAAAAAATTGAAAATTGAAGACTGTGGGAAGAGTTGAATGTTGTGGACTTTGTTTGACTTGAAGAATCTTTGAAGGAGAATTGACTCTCCCCTTTTTTTCTTTCTTTCTGTGGGCAGGGTAAAGTTTGATGATCCTTTTTTACCAGAATGGTCAAAACTAATAATTTTGTGTGCATTAAGAATTTCTATATAAAAATCCAATTGCAAATTCTTTAAGACACTTTGATTGTGTGGTGTAATTTTAACCTAACTGCTCTTGACCATTCATTATTTTCTTCCTACAAAAATCAGTTCATTAGAATTAGGGCTTCAAAAAATTAGGGTTCAATCAAAGTATGAAGCCTAACAACTATTTAATTAAAAACAGTTCGGGTTAGATAATTATTTTTGAAGAGGTAAATCAGACTTTAATTACAAGATATCCGCACATAATCTCTTAGGTCCAATTCGCGCCCCGTTTATATTGTGCACACATAATTGTAGTGGGCTAAAAGAAGTAACCCTTATTTAGTTATTTTCTTGCAAAACATTCTTGTAAAAGTGTGAATTAATTGTATGTAGCCAAATATTTTTTTTGTTGGAAAATTGTGTTTTAAAGAATTGACCTTATGGTTGACCCTTGCATTAATTTTGGGGTATTTGATCTGTAGGACATTGCTGTGGCCAATCTTCCCTCAACACACCCTATAAGGCTGGGTTTGGCACTCAACTTCTCAGTGTTCCACTATGAGATTTTAAATGCATCAGAAAAGGCATGTGGCATGGCCAAACAGGTTAGTTGTGTAACTTCACTCTTAACTAATCTTCTTATTCATCTTATTCTATATGAATTACCCAAGATCCCAAGTGAATTCAAACCATTTCCTTAACAAAATGACAAGGACAGTTTTGGCATTTTACAAATTTTGGCACTTCATCTATCCATATCTTATCATATATATATTCTCCACTTGATTAACTTATATAGGCATTTGAGGAGGCTATTGCTGAGTTAGACACATTGGGTGAAGAGTCTTACAAGGATAGCACTCTTATCATGCAACTTTTGAGGGATAATCTCACTCTCTGGACTTCTGATATACAGGTAAAATTACACACTAATTTGGTTATATGCCAAAAGTAATCTTAGGGTACGCTTGTTCTCTAGTCGATTTTCAAACTTAACAACGATTAATACAAAGTGTGGTCATCCCTCAATTCGTTATTGGAAAATGTTACGTTTACCCCATGAACGACACCAAAACTACACCACACGTTTGGTAATTGTCTGTGACGCACTTGTGGTGTCATTCGTGGTGTGACTGTAGTATGACCGTCTGTCATTGTCATGCATGCGACCTATAACTAATAGCCTTTTTTTGATGTAGGATCACGGGGGTGCGGCTTGATATATGCATAGTTTCTTCGAGGAGGCCCGTCAACGATATAATCTAAGGACTATATATATATTGTTATATATGTGTGTGTGTGTGCTACTTGTGAAGTGTGTCAACTTAGTTATAATTAGTAGGAGGATTATTTATGGTTTAAAACTTGGGTTCATTAATTTGAGACCTCAATTGAGAGTGATGGTTGACAATATCATTTGCTCTATTCTCCTTTAATCATATATATATATTCTCGTGTTCCCCTTCCCTATTGATGTGTTTTTTTTGTTACTAATTCATATATTAATTAATTGATATTTCTTGCTATTGCTTTCCACTTGTTGCAATGGGAGAAAAATGAGTTTACATTTTCTTCTGGCATTTCACAATTGTTCTTTGTAAAGTGCAAAAAAAAAAGTGAATTTCGTGTAAACCCTTTTGGTGTATATATGGTTTGACTCTTTGAGTATTTAGCAACATTTGTGGGATCATTTAAATCCAACCAAGACTTTCTACATAATATTCTTTCAAATAATACACCATTTGCATTAATGATTTGTGTTTTTGTGGTCTTAAAGTCTTTATGAAAAATATGAACTTTCTACACATTTCAAAGTTTTCATAGATTTAAAAGTAGATCTTTGTTCAGTTGTAAAAAGCTTAATTTTTAGTTTTTACGTGGTATTTATGCATTAACGTTTATAAAAAAATTCCTGGAAAGGAGCAAAAAGTACTCCCTCCGTCCTAAAACTATCTTTTTGTTTGTATTTACGAGGTTTGACCGACTTTATTTTCAAATTAATTTATTTGATTGTAGGTGTGAAATTAAAAAAAAAAATTTAGATATTTAAAAATTACATCAAAAGTTTTACAAAACAGGCGATAAGACTGTATTATTTTATCAAATAACTAACAAAAATAGGTAAAGAAAGTGATTTAAGTTTGACTTTATGAATAGTAATGGGAAAGATAATATTAGGATGGAGGGAGAATGAAAATACCAAAATAGCAGTCATGAATCTTTTAAGACCAAAATAGAAGTATTCCGTATAATGACAATGTGGTGTAAGAGTACGCGTTGGTAGTGTGATAGATTAGTGACATTCTAGTGGCTAGCGGCAATGATTGGTAGTGTGACAATTAAAATGTGACGATGTGGTGAGTGCGGCAATGTAGGAATGACAGCGTGAATTCCTATTTTGATCTTAAAATACCTATGACTCTTATTTTGGTATTTTTATTATTTTTCACTCCTATCTGGGAGTTCTCCCTTTATAAAATGAATATTGCCTTTAGGATTACTCGGTTCTTTTGATTGAAATTTTAAAATTGCATATTGGAAGAAACTAAAAGAAGTTGGAAAATGTTAGAATAATTAAAGTGTTAAAAAACTAGAACTATTAAATGATTATCTAAATGTCTTCCAAAAATGATTATCCAAATAAAAATGCAAGAGAATTATTTTTCATTTAAAAAAGAATTCATTCTCGTTTACGTTTGAGGTACTATGTTATAAATTTAGATAAATAATGTTATTTTATATTCATCATATACAAATACCTTTTTTAAGTCTTTGAAAAAACTAGAAAATGTTGAAAGAAATTAGAAAGAGGTAATATTTACTCACTCCGTATCAAATTAAAATATTTAACTTGATTGTTTTTCAAAATTAAGATAATTATTTTGGGACATCAAAGAAATGAAGAATTGAAAGATGAAATAAAATACGGAGTAAAAGAAAAATATAATTTTTTTAAAACCTTTTTCTATTCTTTTTTCTTTTATTTCGTACAGAGTACTTTATTTTATCTTTTTGTTTTTTATTTTCTTTTGTAATGTTTTCCGAAAAATTCTTGTTTTCAAAAATTAATAAATGAAAGGTTTTAGTTGGAGATGAAGAATGTGTATGTTAGTTTATTTATTCGTATAAACAAGAAAAAAGAGAAAATAAAAGGGCGGACTTCATTACGAAGGTAAAGAGGGGACGTAAATTTTATATATATATATATATATATATATATATATATATATATATATATATATATATATATATATATATATATATATATATATATATATATATATATATATATATATATATATATATATATATATATATATATATATATAATTAATGACCAATATATTAATTCCACATCATTTTTCATATAAAATGATTTGAAAATAATTTCAGTCAAGTATCGTAAACTGAAACATATAATTTACTCCGTAAATTGGAACGGAGGAAGTACAATTCTTAGAGCAACTCCAAGAGATGAGTTATATGGAAGGGTAAAGGGCAATAATGGTCAAATTTGCCTTTTCTTCATAATAATTCATTCTCCAAAGGGGAAAAGAAAAGGAAAAGTATTATACTTCTTTTAATTTTGAAGAGATATCTTTACCTTCCCAACACAAAAGGTTAAATACTTTGTAGAGCATTTTGGGAAGGCATATCTAGCATTTGAAAAGCTAAATAAGCCAAACACCAAAATACTTTATCTAAGAGGGTTATGATATTAGAAGATTTCAAATGCAAATCCTATTAAACTTTACGAAACCCTAGACAAAAAATTACTAATATAAAAAAGAACAATGCTAGGGTACCAACACAAGGATGCTACTTTGAGTGCACTCATACTTTGCACAGACATACACAGCTCTAATCGTTTGTGCCACACAAACAATTACCGTCTGTATTTATCTGTGCAAAGCATAAATCCACCCAAGATAGCACCCATATGCTGACACTCTAGCATGACCCTATAAAATAGCTCAATGCCCCAATCTAAATTTCATGTGTTCAACAAACCCAGCCCAAACAATTTTAGCATTTTAAATATTCAAAATGGCACGTTCAAATTAATCGAGATTTTGCAATAACCGTTGTGCTTTTAGATTAATTTCTCTCACAAGTTTATTTAGGCTTTGTTTAAGATTAACGTTTTCGATTAACATTTGCATTTTTGATAAAATTTTAATGATGTAGATTAATTCTAAGACACCAATGCTAAAAGCTACAGTCGAATAGTCTTTTCAAAATGCTAACTTCTAGCGCTGATACCAAACGGGACCTTAATGCTCCGCACAATAAACCAAGAAGATTAATAACAAATGCTTCAAAACTCAATAATAATACAAGACGTTTTCACCGTGTCACACTCTAAACTTACAGCGGCACAGTAAAATCCAGGCACCCAATGTCGGGTAAATTTCAAAACCCCAACTCAGTAAAACTCAGCATAAAAAACAATATTTCTACCGTATGCCACTCTTAAACTACAATAGAGCAGCATAATAAATACACAAACCAAATACATCCAACGTTGGGTAAAAAATCAAAACTTGGGGGGTGGGGGTGGGGGTGGGGGCTACCACTCGAAAACTCACGGGGAAGAGTGCTAAAGTTGCTGTTTCCTAACGAGCGCAACGATGATTCGATTCAAGCTGGTGATTTCTTCGTCTCTTTGTCTCAGTTCTCGCTTCAGCTGTTCGATCTCCGCAGAGTGGGCCCCACACTCGCTGCCATTGTTCGTGCCGAGCTCTTCTTCGCCTCGATCGTCACGGTGAGGATGATCCGTCTTGACCTTCTTGGATTTCTCCTCCAAGGGCTCCTCCTCGTCTTGCAAGGACCGTTTGGCTGTTGGGTTTTCATCAAGATTTCCACAAGCCATCTTGCGAACGCAAAGACTCCCGGACACTCCGGTGTCGAGTTTGAACGAAACGAGTTTCTGAGGCCGTCCGAAAGTGTCCTAGACGAAATATACATGGTTAGCAATGCAAGGACGATAACTTTTAGTGTATTCAGAGCAAATTTGTATCATTAAAATTGATCTAAAATGATAATGATAATGAAAAAACGTTGATCCCAAACAAAGCCTTAGTTTCTGCCCTTATTTAAAATGCTAAGCATGATAATGTTATTGAAGATGCACAAATAAAGGAATTAAAGAACATCGCTTAATGTAAGATGATGATAATGATTAGTACTCCCTCCATAGTTCATCCCACTATTTTTGTCACATTTTACCTTTTTTCTATCCCACAATTTGTCTAATTCCATATTTAGCCAAATTTGTGTGGTTCACAATCATTTTTACTCTATCTTACCTTTTACCATCAATATCAACCATACAAACTTTTATTAATTTCTGTGCCTCTCCATGTTCCAAAAATAGTGGGACGGAGGGAGTACTAGTAATAGTAATCATAATTATAATGATAATTATTAATATCATTATTATCATAAGAAAACATTCACGTAAATACTCTAAAAAATTTGAGATTTTATAAGAATACTCCAAGATTATATGTTTATCACCAGCGCCATTAGAAATTCAATATCGTTAGTATAATACTCCAAGAAACTTTTTAGTTTATATGGTTCACCTCATTTTTTTGAGGCGCATATGTAATCGACATGAAAGTATTATACTAAAAATATTAAAATTTTGGGAACACCGATGATAATTATGTGAACTTGAAATATTCTTATAAAATCTCAAATATCTGAGAGTATTAGCATTAATCCTAATACTAATGATGATGATGATGTGTAGTCATTCCCAAATACAGGGAAAAAGAACATGGCCATTTTTTTCAATTCCCATCTACTTGCTTCAAAGTTGTCTGACTATGGTGGTGTTTGTTACAAGATGAAAGAACATCGATTGCGACACTTTAAAACTCAGAGATAAGGAGGAAAAAAAACGAGGTTGCGAAAACGGGTTGTGCATAAAAATACCTTTTCTTGGGTACCTTCAAGCTTCTCATATGCCTCATTTGCCTCTTGCTGATTCTTGAAAATTGCAAATGCAGAATACCTATCCAGTTGCTTTCTATTTGGCTGCAAACATGGATTTTGTTTCTTGAGATTTTAGAAACTTAGAGAGTAAGCAAAGGAAGAATATAACAAGTCATTTTGATTTGTTCCACTGTTCATACAGCAAACATATACACATATCATTGATATCACATTCAATGACCTGTTTCAAAAAAAAAATTCAATGACCAAGCCGCGGGTAAATTCCACAAATGCTCCCTAATTACAGTTGGTTTTCCATATTTACTCCCCAATTCTAAGATATTACATAAATGACCTTCAGTTTTTGAACTTTTTCCCATATTCGGTCCTTCAGGGACTATATATGGAAATTATATTTTCATATTTGACCTAAAGGATTATTTATGGAATAATTTTCAAAAATTGAGAACTATTTATGTAATACTACCTCCGTCCCATTGTCTTTGTCCACTTTTGACTTTTGGAACTGTTCATCTAAGCACTTTGACTCATCAAATTCTCTCAATGTGTAAGCCTAAAAATAGTCATGTGTGATCTTGTTTGATTCGTCTTAACATATAGATTATTAATATATAATTTTTATAATTTTTTAATATACAAATTACAAGATAAAATGGATTAAAGAAATGCATTGGATGATGTGCCAAAAGGTAAGTGGACAAACACAGTGGGACGGAGGGAGTATCTTGTAATTGAGAACTAAACATGGAAAACCACCTATAATTAGGGACCATTTATGCAATTTACTCTCAAGCTGCTTAAGCCTAAGGGAACAAGTATGGGTAGGGATCCACTGTCCTAAAAATATTATCCCACCTTATGTCCCACCCTTCAGATGCTGCTACATAGCATAAAAATGTGGTCCCACTTCATTGTTGTGCCATCATTTGAAGAGCGGGGAATGAGTATGGCATAACATTTTTGGGACATGAGATTTCTGGAAATATGATACCATATCAAATAAAAAGCCAAAAGATGCCTAAAGAATAAAAATGACATCGGAACAAACAAACCTTAAACTTATTTTGAACGGTGAACTCTCCAGAAATTATTTCATGCAAATCCGTACGACCAATGCCTACTGGTATCCTGTGGATAAGCAGCTTCGCCGTCCTGTCTTTTTCTTCACCACCCTAAATTCATGGAATGGTGATCCAGGTTACAAACATACAACTGGATCTGAATGCCCCATGGAAGCACACGCGGGGGGGGGGGGGGGGGGGGGGG